GCTGTCCAGCAGAGTTGGTTTATGGAACCACACTACGTCTGCCAGGAGAGTTTTTCACCGCAGGTAAAAGCGTTCCAACTGATATAGCGGACTATGTACAGCGTCTTAAGCAGCATATCAGTAGTCTAAAGATAACGCTTCCGAGACAACATCAACGCCGTGTGTACATACCCAAACAACTAAGTGACAGTACCCATGTGTTTATCAGAAGGGATAATGTGCAACGTCCCTTACAACCGGCCTACCATGGTCCATTTAAAGTGATTAAAAGAGACGACAAAACTATTACGGTAGACAAAGCTGGAAAAACGGATGTAATTAGCATCGACCGAGTCAAACCAGCTTTCATCGAAGCCTACGATCAGCCAGTACATACAGATACTGCGAAAACCGTTGAATAATCGAAACGTCAGTTCCAATCATCAACGACATCGACGAACACAAACAAAGAGAATCCAGTAACCACAAAGTCTGGTCGAAGAGTAAGATGGCCCCAACGTTATGTCTCTGCAATCTTCTATTAATAATTTTCTACTATTTTAAATATTAATTATAACTTCCACTTCATTGTATACACATACATTACTAATTTCACGTTATACGCTATAAAACTCAACATATCTTATGTACCCCTGTCGAACTATGGTCTACTATGATAGTAGTACTGCTCTTATAATAGACCTAATCCTAAATTTGTAGATTTGTCATGATATAACTGCCTAATCTATAAGATCTTACGTGGAAGTCACACCATCGACTACACCAACTCACTGTATCGTATCAATTACCAATATATGATGTAGAACAAGGTTAGGCTAGAGAAAGAACAATATATTTAATATGAATAGAAGATATAAGGTAACATTCAGCAGAGACCACGCTTGTATAGCCGAGCCATGCCACTCGATCAACTCCAGTCCATTCAATTCATTCTCCGCGCCTTCTCAATTGTTAGGTATTTCCCCGAGTTAAATATTGAATATCTATTTTCTGAGTAGTCTTGTGTTCACAGTTTTGTGGATTGTGTGGCTATTGTCCAATGCCACTACACCCCTACACTTACACGTATAATTTTTATTTAAAATGTAAAGCAATACCGCATTCCTTCTATTTATTGCTATTATTTTTTATAGCCTCACGGATGGGCACAAAGCAAATGTACAGCACACACCAACTTCATCTTAATTTTGTACAAACCATTTCTTTTCAAACGATTGTAACTACCCTATTCAGTTTACTATGTTTTTGTGCAAACACAGACATTTTTCCATATATCTTTGTTTGCAGGGGGGGGGAGCTATTATAGCGACTCACGTGCGATTGAGTTTAGTTCAGTCAAGGTCTTTTGTTGACCTATTTAATGGACAAAGTCATCCATGATATAACAACTTGTTGTACTATCTTTATTATTATGCTTGTATGAAATACATATGCTTGAACATTGTTTAGCGCCTATGCATGTATTCATTCTGCTAGCTTCATTAGTAACTGCTTAGTCTATTCGCTGACTCATCCGTTTTCCTGTACATATATATCTGTGTACATTTGCACCCATTCACTACAACAATTACTACTGCTACTGCTACAATCGTAGTTCACTTGCTCATTCATTTTGCCTCTCTGCTGTCTGGTCCGAATTATCTACTAAATAAACTGTAGTAGCTGCTTCTTTTTGCATTCCGATTTCAAACATCGTTGAAGATTATACGAGAACGGTTCGAGGGTGATTAATTATCGAAGCACAGCCACTACAGTTGCATTGGTACTAGTGCTTTACTTGTACAGACTAGAATTTAGTTCTTTGTTGCACATACGTTTATTATGTTGTGTATCTGTTCGTCTTACGTCCTGCCAACTGAAATATTTGTGTATTATAGCTGTTTAGAGTAGCGAGAATAATATCAAATATAAGTATTGAAGATGTCACAGGTATTTGGAGTTTGACATTGCTTTAACCAATAACACCTACTACTATGAATCGTATCCACCGAGTGAAATCAAAAGACAGAAGCGAGGAGGTTCGAAGATATATTTGATGCGCTATCAACATATCGCGGACCGTCTGATGTAATCGGGCTAGCGATTGCAGTAGTTGTTGAGCACGGAGTTCCCACTCGTGATCTGGTGTGAATGCATAACCAGGCGCCTTCAGTTAGGTGAGTCCATTAGAACTAATGTGGTCAGCACCCAATGTCGAAGACTTACAGAGCTATTTATTTTGGGGATTTATTTATCGCTACAGTATGTGAGCCAGTGGAATATCACTGAGCTCTAGTGAAATCATCCGGAAGATTGGTCACTGAATGTCGAACCGATCATCGATCTCCGTCAGGGTCAAGGATGACCAATGCGCATCAGTTCATTTTGCGCCATGGATTTGTCCCTGCGGTGGTGATCGTACTAGCTTCTATGAAACGATTCTTATTAATATGTCTGGGGGGTTATTCTGTACACGAAAAGTGCTCTAACCATAAGATTAGCTGAGACAGTAGCACATGTTTCAGGGATATGTGAACTGGTGAGATGTAAGTTGAAATGCCGAAGGCAAGATATTGAAGTAGTTGTAGTATATCGCAATCCAGAATGTGTAGCAGATGACTTTATCCTAAGTAAACTTAAGTCCTGGTGTAACAACGGTAAAAGTCTTGTAGTAGGCGACTTTAATGCACCATATATAAACTGGGTCGTTCGACTGCAAACTGTTAGAAACCTCGATTGGATTAGCATTATTCCAACACATCAGAGATCCCACAAGATACGACTTAAGAAACTCTTCCTCTTTTAGATTTAGTCTTCACACACGGTGATGACGTTGGTCAAATGACTTTTCTCCCACACCTAGGGAGAAGTGACCATGCAGTCATCTTATTTAAGTTCATGGCTGAGATTGCCTGTCAAACAGTTGCGCCGGCTCGACCTAACATATGGAAGGCAGATATGGAGGTAATTAACTCCGCAGCATCGGCTGAAAACTGAGAAATTGATTCAAAAGCATCAGTACAAGAGGCATGGACCCTATTCAGGCAGTTATACAATCCGGTAACTCAACCATACATACCCTGGACTGTCCCAAAGAAAATGAAGCACGGACATCCCTGGATAGGCCGGGATATTCGACATTTAATAAGACAAAAGAAGAAATACTGGGACGTTGCCATCCGCCTTGGCACAGCAGGTACGATGGAACGCTACAGATCGATAAAAAACGAGTGTCTAACAAAAATTCGGGGAGCTCAAAGAAATTATGAAATGCAGCTGGCACAATCTGCACTCAAGCAGCCAAAGAGAATATTTTCGTACATAAACTACAGAACAAGGATGCATCACTGGATTTCCAACTTAATTAAAGTAGGAAGTGAATCTGAAATGATAGCGGAAGATCAAGAAAAAGCAGAGGCTATGGCTGACTATTTTGGGGCAGTTTTCACTCAGGAACCTCCTCTAGAGAAAGAACCAGACCCAAATACAGAGTCAACAAACCAACTGCTCACCGTGGACTTCGACCAAAACGATGTGCTTAAGGCTCTTAGCACCCTAAACATAGAGGCGTCAACAGGACCAGATGAACTACACCCCAAAATCTTGAGATATATTGCCCAATATGTCGCGGCCCCACTGACTGTGATATTCAATATGTCACTTGACCAAAGTGTGTTACCTATGGACTGGAAGGACGCAATCGTCACTCCCATACATAAAACAGGTCCACGACAAGTTCCATCGAATTACAGACCCGTAAGCCTCACCAGTGTGGTAATTAAAATACTGGAAAGAATAATCAAACGGCATTTATGGAAACCAATAACTTGCTGAACATGGTTTTAGAAAGGGTCTATCCTGCACAACGAACCTCCTTATAGCTATGGAGTTCTGGATTAATGCGCTAGACAAAGGAAACGCAGTGGATCTGACATTTTCTGACTAAATCCAACTTAGCTTAACGTTCAATTCGTAATTAGATTGATTTTTACTGTAGACACTAATTTACTTGACCAAAGTTTATTCCTACCTTGTCGCACTGAGCTACCTACACGCGATATTGTACATGATTATTGTCCCTTCAATGTAAATATATGCCAACCTGTTGTCCCTATGAGAAGGTAAGGCATTATTAAATGTCAGTTTTTATGATCTCGCGAATGCAATTTACCAAAATTATGAAAAATACTTTGTATGAAAATGAATTATAACTGATCAAACGTTTTTCAATCTCGTTATATACCTTCCCTTCCTCCTCTCATCGAAACGTTGTAAAATAACCTTGTTCTGTTAGTCACAAAGTTTACTCCATTTAGACGGAACAACTGAAGCACGGTCTGACTTGTTCGAAAGCGAAAACGACTTGTCATTCAATATAAGAAAATAAGGAGTTATACAGCCTGCATCCTAAACGATAAAGGCAAACACAGTCCAGTTTTCTACATACATTTTATGACGAACTTGTTTTAACATTCGTGTTTAAATGTGAATGTGCTGTTTCTACATTTCCTTGTTTTTTTTTTCTGAAATGTCGTTCTGTTTTTATACCAACAACTTCTCTATCGTATTCAGATTAACGTTAACCCTAATAAAACCAAAGTTTTATTATTGATCATGCGGTTGTAGATGGCTTAACACAATGATTACGTTATGGAAATAAATTGCTCTGAGAAAAGAAAAACAATGGATTTAGACGAAAGTCAGCGGTTTTAATAAAAGTACTAATAAGAAATAGAATCCCAGGAAATAATATATCGGAAACGTTTTCTAGCTTAATCACACGGGAAATAGTACTTTGGCTAGATTTTATTATTCTTGAATAATGTATGGGAAAACGTAAATTGCCGATCGACTCAGTCACAACACATCATCTAACATTACTCAGTAAAGGAATTTCACATCGAACTATGCAAACATTCATGTCATCTAGCAGTACCACTTAGGTACCTTCATGTAACAGTCATAATTTTCGGATGGTATAACTGGAATAATGTCTTTTCTAAAAGAGTTGATAACAATTTATAGAACAGGAGAGATCATTTATTATACATTACGTATATAAGGATATATCATTCGTAGATAATTTTTGAAAAGAATGTGTAATCATTCTAAGAAGATTTTACAGATTATATATAATGACGGATTATGGGATAATGTGCAATAAAAACCAATGGAAATTATCCGTTAAATGAGACAAATAAATAAATAAACGAACAAATACTCATGTGTTTTATGTATAGAGAAGCACAAAAAATAATCATGGCAGGTAACCGGAAGGATATTAACAATGTTATGTTAAAAGTTACTGTTTAACGATTATTTGGATTGTGATGACGAACATGACGAAGTATATCTTTTTTAGTCAATACACCAAGAGGACACCTAGATCGGGGGAGAAACACAGAAACGAACATATTGAAATACAATTCAAAAACGATAGCGTATATACGTATACAGTTGAATGAACGACTAGTCATGTAACTCAGCTTTTCACCATACTTCAACCAACCACTAGGTATACTAACCTCCTGCAAAAGATGAAATCCAAATGCTCTTAAGTGATATATTTTTTTCATGTTCGAAGGCACCGAACCAGGATAAATTGTTTAACGTCACAGAATGAGCTATGAATCTCAAAATGAACGAATTTTATTTACTGACAATATGTTTCATTTTGTTTATTTGCATTTGCACTGATAATGTAAGAGTGCATGTATGGAAATTCACAATAATCAAAACTTCATTTACATATTCCATTCAGACTATTAGTTTCTAAGTAATACTGATTAAATTGAAAATAGTTTTCAATATAGAGTAATACCATAATGTGATGGTTAACGAAAGGCAATTTCAATATGATGGACGTGACTGTCAAGATTGGTGAGTGGATCCGAATATGAAACTATGTGGATTTAGGTTCTCAAACTTCCCAGCAATAAAATGTAGGGTGAGTGAAACAGAAAAACATAGTAAAAATATAAGGCTATGAGTATAAAAACTAGGACGCATGAAGCTGGATAAAACCCTTTGATTTTTCGAGGTATGAAAAGGATGCACTTGTGAGATTACCATGGGTTTTCAGTCGCATCAAACGCTTCCCTATTTGAACGTTCTTAACTTCAAGATTCAGAATAAAAGCATTGCATGATTGATACTGAGTATTAATCAAGTGACTCGAAGCTTCTAATTAATCTATATGAACACTATGCAGCACAATATTTCGAGGAAGAATTCAGTTTCATCTGCATAACGCAATTTAATTGACCTCAGTCAGTGGATGTTAACTAGCTCACTGACTACTTGCATTAAGTTTGGCGTTCAGCATTATTTATTATTTATTACTGATTATCTAACTGCAGTCTCGACCGTAGCTGCTATCTTGACGTCATGGTCAAGCATGCCTGTCGTGATGACCCAACCGAGGCATATTGGCTGGGACATATGTTTCTGTAGGTTCTACCATGCCATGCAGCTCGATTGAAGAACGGTAAGACTGAAAGCAGCAACTCAAGGTCTGAGGGTGAAGTCGTACTGCTGAATGTAGAGGGGTGTGACAGTAGTAAGGTGTTTCCCTCGGGCAACCAGCATCTGCAGCGATGCTGCCTTCTCACAAGGAAGGAAGGGGTTAGAAAAGGTCAACCATAAAAATGTCACACCTTACCTTACCTCACCGATTTCCGTCTCCGGTGGTAAGGTATTTCGAAGGACGGAGCTAACACGTCAAAACATCCTACAAAAAAGCCGAGGGTGTCCGACCCCAAGTACTTGTCCCTTGGACTCTGTAGTCTCACTTTCAAGTCGTTAAGACCAACACTAATCCAACCTTTTTCATGTTTCTCAAGAAATAACCTCCCACGGGGTAGGGCAGCCAGTAAGTGACATAAGCCCTCATACCCGTAGCAGCGCATGAGACCAAGTTGGTCACAATCAAATCCTCCATACACTTCCTAATAACTCTCTTGTCTTCACGACTAAACCTTCTCACGTTCTTTTATCACCTCGCGCCGCTAATGCAAACGATTCGAGTACGCGTAGCGTTATTCCCGGTCTCTTAAAACCACGCTCTAAACTATATGTAGGAGCTTTTAACGTCCGAACACTGTGCCAAATAAGACAACAGGCTTCCTTAACTAGTAATTTAGAATCTCGCGCCATCGATGTATGCTGCGTCTCCGAAACGCGCATACAGAGTCCAGATAGCGTCATTCATATGACCTCACCATATCAAAACAAAAAACCATCTCGATTCACGCCTCGTGTGTCTGGAAGCCTTGTTGCTGCTTTCCGTGACTTCGTTGGTGCAGGTATAGCATTGAGTCCGACGGTAGAACTAGCTCTCTTAGACTGGATCGCAGTTGACAGTCTATTTTGCGCTATCCAATTAAACGGAACGGTAAGGACTCGGAAAGATAGGGACACTTGTCGTCTGCCTACTCTTTAGGCATGAGGAAAAACATCTTCCGAGATGACGACCTCCGAATTCGTTCCAACGTTAGACCCAACTAGATCACATCGCTATCAGGCACCGATAGAGGGGCTCGATGGAAGACTGTCGCTCGTTTCGGAGCACATGCTTAGATTCAGATAATGTTCTATTGCGAGCGCGCATTTGTCTGCGTCTTACTGGACGTAAGTAAAAACGCTGCAAGTAAATCTCTTGGGGTCCTACTTAATGATAGACAAGCTAAGAATATATTTCAGGAACAACTAGAAAAACAATTAAGCAGCCATGTAATTGATGCCCACCACGAGGCAGAGTTCAATGATATCCGAAAACCTGTGCAAACACTAGTGATATCTGCTAGTAAGGTAAACCATAATGTAACGGAGAAACACTGGATCTCAGCAGCACCTACCTCACTGATGGATGCTCGAAAACACATTCCATCTGGCTCTGAATATGATGAAGAGCAGAGTAAGCTTAAGCGCAGGCTGATAAGAAGCCTAAGCAATGATCGCGAACAGTGGTGGGTATCTAAAGCAAGAGATGGAAAAGGCAGTGACAGTAGACAGAAGCAGACAGCTGTTCAGACTTGTCAAGGAAACCGCTATTAGGAATCCAACTGTTAGAGAAATTATCTCGGAAACAGATGGACATATTATTCATTCTCAATTCAGTTGATTGGATCGGTGAGCAGAACACTTTAGAGATCAGTTCAACTGACCTTCAGCACACTTCAGTTTTCAAAGATCTCCAGTCGAACTAAAAAGAGAAGTTGATGTGAGTCCTTAAACTCTTCACAAAGCTGAAAAAGCTATAGGAAATCTGAAGCGTGGAAGAGCAGCAGGTTCTGACAGATTTACGCCTGAGATTTTTAAGGATGGCGGTCCAGTTTTAGGAGAGATTGCCTGAAGTCATGGGAAGAATCAGGGAACTGGACGTAGTCCCGTCTGACTGGACAAAAGTCCTATTGTGGCAATCACAGAGGAATCAGTTTGACTAATATAAGGTCTAAAATACTAGCTTCAATAATACTTCGACGCCTAACCAAAGCTCGTGAAGAGCAGACTAGAGAAAATCAGGCTGGTTTTCGACCTGGACGTGGTTGTATAGATCAGATATTCACACTACGTCAGGTTCTAGAACACAGACACACATTCAGACGCCCCACAATGGTAGTATTTCTCGACCTTAAAGCACCATTCAACTCTGTTGATCGTAAGGTTCTATGGCAGTGTTTGTCACTGAAAGGAGTACCAAAGAAGTACATTAACCTTGTAAAGGCTCTCTATTCGAACACAACTGGCCGAGTGAGAGCTTATGGCGAAATGTCATCAGAATTGATTACCTCAAGTGGTGTTTGTCAGGGCTGCCCACTCTCTCCATTCTTGTTTAACTCTATCGCTGACGTGCTTTTAGAGATAACAACTTCCTCATCCAAATTTCCAGTTCAACTTTTACCGGGAGATTCACTTGTTGACTTGGAATATGCCGATGACATAGTTCTATTTGGTGAAGACGCTGACAAAATACAGAGTCTTTTGACCACCGTACACAACAATGCAAGCATGTTCGGGATGCAATTCTGCCCCCTCGAAATGCAAAATATTGCTTCAGGATTGGGTTGCATCGGCACTTGAACCAATGATAGGGAGTGAAGCAGTTTGAGCGTGTCAACCTCTTCACTTATCTTAGGAGTCTCATCAGCCCTAGTGGTTTGGTATGTAACGAAATTTCAGCATGGATACAGAAGCCTTAACTAGCTTTTGCCAACTTGCGTCATTTATGCCGGTGAGAGTAGAGAATATTCGTAGCTTACTAGTATTCGATCATAGGTGTCTTCGAAGCATTGCTCGTATTTCCTGGGACCACTGAGTAAGTAATTCAGTTGTTAGGAAACGGGTACTAGGTAAGGATGGCAAATCAATTGATGAAGTAGTGAAGCGTCATCAGTTGAGATGGCTGGGACATTTGTGACGTATATCCAACCACCGACTGTCCCGACGAGCGATATTTTCTGGTGTAGGAGTAGGTTGGAAGAGAGCTAGGGGCAGTCAGACCAAAACATGGCACAAATCCATGAAGTCACTGACAAGTGGACTTAGTCATGTTGGTAGGTGTAAAATACTTGATTGCGATCCGCGAGACGATAGCAACCGATAGTTAGAGACCTTGAATGTCATGACTCAAAGTCGTTTGCAATGGCCCAGGTGCATCCACTCCTTTTGTTTTCCCAAATTCTAATCTTCTGAATTCTTCATGTCCCTTTCTTTTTTCTCTTTCCAAATTTATTTCACTGGATTATACCTCTACCACTATGAGATTTGAATCGACCACTGGATCTCTGTGCTAATGTGGTATGGCAACTCGAACTGATGTATGTAAATACGAAGTCCTACGTTGTTACTGACTGACTGACTGTTCATCAGGATTTGCTACTTCTATTTTTATTTAACCCGGTAAAAGATAATCGATTGGAGATAACAATCTTATTGTCTGACTCATCAGAAGTCGATCGCCCACCAGGAAATTCTCTTGTTGACTTGAAATACGCAGGTGACATAGTTTGTTTACTAAAGGCACTGACAAAATGCAGTCTTCTGAACATCGAAGGATATCATCAGTTCGTCGTTGTTGATTTGGATGTCCTTAATTTGGTTCAGGAATTGTGTAGAGGATTTGATTGAGTGGTTGGCTGAATATACTAAATGTCTCAGTATTCGTGAAATTTCTTTTGACAAATTGTATGTTGGCGTTCCAGGGAGTGCTACTATTGGACGTAGTGGAATGTTTGGTTTGTGCATTTTGGGTCTACCGTAGAATCGAGGGAGTACTGGTCCACTGGATTTCATTCTCCATTGGTCTTGTTTTGTTATTTCTCCTGCTTTGACTAGCTTGTTTAAAGTCTTTGAGATTTGATTGTCTAATTTTTTGACGGGATTTGTGTCCATCAGTTTGTATGTGCTCTTATCTTCGAGTAGTTCTTCGGCTTTGTTGATGTATTCTTCTTTGTCCATGATTACTGTGGTGCGTCCTTTGTCCGCTGGTATTATGACAATATCCTTTCTATTTTTGAGTTCTTTTAAGGCCTTTTGTTCTTGTGGAGTCAGTTGGTTGTTTTCCTTCACCTGTTGAGTTATCGGTACTATAGTTTGCCTTATTTCTTGTTGTGTTTCTTCACTGATTCCGGAAGTTTTGAGTGATGACTCCAGTGCTGCGAAAAATTCCAGCTTTGAGGCGTCGCTTGTATTGTAGTTTAATCCTTTTCGGAGTAGGTGTTCTTCCGTATTTGTTAGTGGTTGTTTTGACAAATTGATCATGCAGTTGCTTGTGTTTTCTTCCATGGGTGGTTTTGAGATCTTGATCAGTTTTTTCTTTAAGGCGTTTCTTCTTTGTTCTCTGTGTCGTTTGCATGATATCTCGATGGTTGTTGTCAAGATTTCCAAGTGTTCTAACGTAAGTGTCCTTTGTAGCTTCATCTTTTGGTCCTCTATGACATGTTGGTATTTGCGGATCCTGTAGTGTGCATCCGTTATCATTAGGTGTACCATTTTTCTTCCACTTTGCTCGGCAATTCTCCATCCTAATGGGCATTTGATTGGAGGTCTATATCTTACACTTGTTGGTAGAACATGCTGGCAAAGACACTCATGGAGAAAATATAGTTGTTCTCGAGTGGAAGCCTGCCTTTTGGCGAAATTCTCCCATTTGCGAACAACGAGAAGCGTATTACGCTCATATGAGCGTAATAGTCTTTTGAACACCTCAAGCGTTAATCCAAGCATGTTTGGGATATATTTCTCTCCATCAAAATGTGAAATGTTAGTTAAGAAAATGGTTGATGTCAACCCCAGAACAAATGATATAGCGTGAAGCAGTTGAGTGTTTCGATCACTTCACTTATCTTAGAAGTCTCATCAGTCTCTGACGAAATCCCTACATAGTTTCAGAAGGCCTGATAGACTTTTGCCAACTTGCGTCACTTATAGCGTAGGCAAGATATTAATCTACCAACTGAAGGACGAGTTTACTGCTCAGTATTTTGTTCCGTTCACCTTTATGGCTATCAAACGTGGCCTTTAAAAGTAGAGGATATCCGTAGATCACTTCTATTCAATAATATTTGCCTTTAAACCACTGCTCGTACACTTTGATACCTTTGAGCTTCATCAGTTGAACTAAGTTATAACTATCGCCAATAATTATAAATACACATATTTTTCTGTATGTTTTTAATTCTCACCCTACAAACACTTCATCTGTTTTCTAATTTTGAACTATGAGGCCTCTACACGTTCGAGTGCTGTCAGTTGTATATCGTGTGCTGAGTTAATCAAGTAGAAGGGGTAGCAGAGACTAAATGCCAACACTTATGAAAGCAGATCATTACGTTTTGCTGATCAGCTTTGCTTCAACTTAACTATATCCTAGGTAACTATAATAAATGTTACTGTCATATGAAATTCGCTCTCGCGTCGTGAATTTTACCGACACGAAATGCAACAAGCTAAGTAGACATAAATAGTAGAAACGATAATAAAGATAATTAGACAGTTTTTACAAGTCTATCACTACTACTGAATGAAGTATTTGACAATTACTAAAAATTTGGTTACACTTAGTAAACAAAAAAAACGTTTACTAACCCATTACGTGTAACAATGATTTGTCGGAGGCCCAACTTTTTAAAGAAATCCAAAACTGTTTCCATCGGTGTATGATCCGATACCGTTGTAGGAGACTAAATGGTAAAAGGACACAGAAATCGCCAATAACAGTGAGTTAGGACACAATCAAACGGTTTGAAATTAGAATAAGTTACAAATGATACACACTGCCTGGACCAAAACACCAAAAGTAAAAAACAAAGATAAATTGTACAAAGAGTTTACTGTAGACAATTATTCACAATTGAAGCATGTGTGTATTTTTACAGGTAGTGATATATACAACCGTGATCGTTTTTGGTTAAATGAGTAAAATGTCGACTTTTCATAGCCGGTCCAAACTGGTAATCGATTTATTAGCTTATCACATAGTTTCCTAAACCCTGTCTGTTTAGCTTGATGCACTGTGAAAGACATTAAAAAAGGAGAAATATGGTGGCAGGATCTTGTATTGCAAAACAACAGTCAGAATTGAACATGGAGATACTTAACAGGAAAAACTGAATTACCAACTGTTCATCTACACTTTTTAAAACATATACAGTCAATAAACAAATATGAATAATTTTGATACAGGGGAACACGAGTTCATAAATATATACGATAATTTAGACCAGTAAATAATAAAATGACTACTGGAACACGTTTCTTTTAAAATAAAAACGAAAAAACACTATAACTAAATAGGACGTTAAGGTCACCATGAAACGGTTTTACTGTTATTTGGAAAACTGATAAACCAATAAACATATCGTAAACTATGGAGTTAATAATAGCAACAACAATAACAATAATTTATTACGGGATATTAGATTACAAAACGTACCAAATCAACAATATTTTGTAAGTTGACAGGTGTCAATTCCTGATTATCATCTGCATATACTTCCTGAAATGTGGCAAAATGAACTGGCGAATCATCGACAATATTTGAATCATATTTTCTTTCACGATCTATTCATTATATAGATAATAAACAGACAAAACCAATATTTATCTATGGTAAACAGAACCATTGAGATGAGCATATAATAAAAACTGTTTCTCAATCAAGTTCCATGACAGAAATGAGTAAACAAAAATACAGACAAGTAGAACAACGTAAAAACTATCCACCCACCTAACCATCCCGAAAAGTAAGCAATTGGTGTTTTAAAATTGATTTGCAAGTAAAACTAGTCAAAGGGATAATAGATGATAATGACTATTCACAACTAGATTTTAATCATTATACACTGTTTTACTGACTGAGCTACACAAGACACTTTAAACAAACTGATGTTTTCGAGATAGGTATCTACTACAATTAATAGAATTATTCAATGAAGAATTATTTAAGTAATGACGTTGATTGGGTGGAGGTAGAAGGGAGGAAACATGAGATCTAGTTTCTAAGTCAGTTTAGCACTCGTTAGCAAAGTGCCGCTGCAAACATGAGGAGGATAATGTATCTCTTGAGGTGTATGTTATGTTACCGCCACTAAACTCTTGTAGCACTACGATATTTACAAACGAAATGGGAGTCGAAACCGCATCCTTACGAATACATTCATTCAGTTAACATCAAAAATTAGTATTTGAATGACTTAATTCTAACTGAATTGTTGCTGAAAGTTTCACGACTAAGCCATCCAGCTCAGAGAACGAAAGACCATCAAAATCATCCATCCGAGTTACAACTATTCATTAACTCATATTGCAAGTTGTAACTATCAACAGTCATCAGTTATACAAATATCTGCTGAAGGATTCAAAAGATAAGTATTTATTAAATACAAAACGTTATTTGAGGTTAATGTGGACCGACATTTAATTAATTCCGTAATCAACATTCACTTCTGACAAAAATAGTTTACACAATAAATCAATTACATCAATCAATCTACAAACATTTAGGTAATCGAAAAGATTTTTAATTAAAATTGGTTTAGAAAAATCTCACATAGGAATTCTACTTGTACCTACTGAACATAATAACGTTTACCTATCAACGTATATAAGTAGATATCAACAAATCACAAGCAAAACACTTTATAATAATTAAAAGATAGTTTCCTAATAGCTTACCCAAAGCCCAACGTAACTCTCTTCTTGAAACCCATCCAACTAGGTATGGGGAATCTTGTGAAACAACAACAGGAAATCCTTTAACATCACATCCACTAACCAATTGGTCTAGATCACCAACTGTCATATCATATTGTGTAACAACATATAGAGGGGAATTAGAATCTCTGAAAAAACAGATGGAAACATTATAGACAATAACGAGAAAGGAAAAAGGAATAAGACCAGTCAATTAATTGACGTTATCAATAACGAAATCGTATTGAAAATGCATGCATATAGACGTGTTGCTATTTCCCGAATACAACAAAAAAGTCTAACTTCAAAAACAAAATTTACCAGCAAACCAGGCGACATGATGACACAGAACGTCATCTTTTCAAACTGATTACATATCCAATGGAAATAACATTAAGATTAGCAAAGTGGCTTATCGATAAGAGGAAATCTACAATCAAACAACCTCTTCTATGTTAGAGCTCTATTGTACCTACTTCAGTTTGAAAAATCATTGAAATATCACTAGTTCTCAAGAAATATGTTTACTTTGATACCATGTGCACAAACGTGTACTTAATTGCTAAGTTGCATAGTATGTTTATTACTTACTTAGGCCTGTTGACCTTCGTGTAGGAGGTTAGGCCGCTCACCAGGATTCGCCATCCAACACTCTCCTGGACAATCCTTTTCAGTGCTTTACAGTTGCTACCCATCATTTACATGTCAGCTTACGTCGTATGAATTCCAGATGATGTTGACGATTTTCTCATGTACTCCATAGTGTCGAAGAAGTTTCCATAATATTTTCCTTTCCACACTGTCAAATGCATTTTATAGTCAAGGAAGTGTGATGTCTCTGTAGGTGAATTCTCACACTTGCTCAGATCTCTTTTTTTGGTATCTTGATGAGGTATCTTTCTTTCCAATCTGTAAGTACCTGTTTTTCTCCCATATATTCCTAAATAAAATGCGGAGTATGTTTTCAGTTACCTCTGTGTCTAACTTAAGTGCTTCAGTTGGTGTATTGTCAGGTCCTAATGTCTTCACACTGTAAGAATTGGAGCTAGTGTCTGAGAGCTATCTTGAATTGGTTGAGTTTGTGAGTATCTTGAAGGAAGACTGCACTCAACTATTGTAATTCTGTTTCACCGGCTGCCCACTGTTTCTTTAGTTTCAGTTTCATGTTGGCAATCACCAGGTGGTGGTGATCTGAGACTGTGTCAGCTCCTCTCATCACCTGGTTGTCGTCTTTCACTGACCCTCTGGATTTTTCAATGATGTAAATATGATTGGTGTGGTTCTGTGTAGTGTGATCCGGTGAGACCTAAGTAGCTTCGTGTATGTGTCTGTGGGGCAATATACTGCCAAACATAAACGATTTGTTGAATGCACATAGATTTACAATCTGTCACCATTCCCATCCTTTTCTCCCAGTCAATACATGTTGTCCCATGATATCTTCGTACTCGATGTTGTCTATTCCGACATTGGCGTATAGGTCTCCCATCAGGATGGTGACACCTTTTATTGGGAACTTCGATATGTTTGATTGCAGCCTCTCACAGAACTGTTCTTTATTGTCACCGTTGCTATCATTGGTGGGTGCATAACATTGGATAACATTCATTGTGATCTCTTCCTTCTTTGTTTCGAATGATGCTCTGACGATTCTGAGTCCATGAGATTCCCATCCTATCGGTACTTCACAGACTTCTTTGTACAGCATCAGAGTAACACCCTGAATGTGTGTGGAGTATTTTCCTCTTCGTGACCTGAATACAACAGCAACATTCCTGTATCTAGTCTTTTCTGTCCAGCTTGGGTCCAATGGTTTTCACTGTTTCCGAGCAGCACCAAGTTGTATCTCATCATTTCCGTAGCTGTTTGATTGGTTCTCCTGGTCTTTCACAGTGTCCGGACATTCCGTGTATTTATATTAATTGTTGCTTTGGTTGTTAGAAGTGGTATCGACCTCGTGACTTGCGAAAAGTCTGGGCTTTTATCACGAGGCGTCATAATTCTTCTAGATGAAGATCCTTGAACTCTCACGTCACAGTTTTTTCTGTTGGATGGGCTTGCCGACTCCATGTACGACCCTTGTCCTTTGTGTGGGACTGTCGGTAACCCTATAATAGCTACAAGCGGAGTCTTACGAAATTTGAGTGACTTATTATTATATTACTACAATGAAATAAATTCAATATGTTTTGACATTAGGAAATCAGCTAGTCATCACAAGTAATTGTTAATAGAGTTATTGGTTGACAGGATCTGAATGGCGTTGCTCCGAATATACCATGTAAGCGTCACCTACTTTATTTGAAATTTCGGATTCACTTTATTAATTATTACAACAACAATCAATAAAGTTAACCAAGTGGGCACTTTTGTATCTAACCATCCAATTTACATACTTGGAACAGCATTAATACTTTAAAGAACATTTTAACCTGTAAAAAAATAACTATCAATAAGTTTAATGAAAATTGTGATACTTGGCTTATTCATTTTTGATATTATGAACCAGTTCCAGTTACACCTCAACTGGGAACCAAGGAGGTACTGCACAGCTATTTCGTTCTAGTATGGGACTCTTCATCTGTGCGTATCCATGACTCCATCAAAATGGATTGAACCTAAGACCTTCGCTCTTACGTGAGAACGCTTAATCTTGAAACTAACGAACTGATATCCAATCGCGTTTGTCAAACTTCAACCAGATATTCATTGTTTATTATTTTTCCAGAAAGAATGGTGTGATAATTAATAGTATTTGAATTATAGCACAAACTAAGAATACCAGAAATAACGCAATTGGATTAGGAAGTACTAGATAGACACAGACCAATGTACTGTATTTTGAATTCAATCAGTAAAAAGGAATCATTATTTCATACAAATATCACAGATGAATATTAACGAAACTCAACAAATAATTCAATTAATTTATAACAATAAATATTGTAATAAGGCTGTTATTGATACCACAGAATGGAGATAACTGACAAACAAAAAAGAACGATAAATGTTAACGATTAAAATCAATTGATCTAGACATGTTATGCTATCAACTTAAATTATTATATCTTTATGGTTGTAATTGATTCATCTCAATATAGCACATTAGTTGAATGGTCTAAGATAACGATCTTTCCATTAGTTTGACAAAATTCACGTGACCTACATCTCAGTGACTTTATGAACTGATGTCACATTTTAGTTTGACCACCATTAGCTTCCATCCAACCTACTATAAGGCAAGTTGGTGTTGAGTATAGTTATGTATAACTTGTACACATTTGAACTAGGTCTTAAGTTGTTTATGTCTGTTTCACAACACAAAGTAGTTCCAAATATTTTAGCCAGGGTAATGAATTAAATTCCTTACGAAGTCAAATAGAAAAAAAGGAGATAAAAACAGAAGACTGACAAAGACATTGTACAATTAAAGGTATTCTAACACGTACACTTAATTATACATTGAATAATAATGATAATAATCTACTTCAGTTAGTCTAAATTCAATAAAATATGCATACACTAGTCATGACTAGTAAATCTCATTAACATAAAAAAAATCCTGAATGAACAACAACAAAATACAACTATCAATCAATCTTATCAAATAATAACATGATTTATAGACACGTTTACAATAAAGTATTTTCCAATTCTTTCAATACATTTATAAAATATAGACGATTATAATCATTCAAAATGATTAGTAAATTCGGCGAAATTATAATTTATGAACGGACCAATCAGATATAAGATAACAGATATGGGATTTTGGCGTGAAGTTCAGTCATCCATTTGGTTAAATAGCGTTTTGACATTTTAGCTGATGTCGGTTCGTGATAAAAACCCCAATTCTTATTCCTAACCCTAACCATTACCTATAAATCCTAATGATAACTCGCCATACTGGTTTATAATCGTCAATTACTTTTGGTTAGTAGGTGAACATTCTCAAGGTCAATTTAGCGTCGATCAATGGTCGTCCATAAATTATGGTCTCACCGTAAATTCAACAAATGAATAAATTATGATGACCAATTTAATCAGTTATTCTTATTGAACCTAATAAATCTTTAAATCAAGGGTATTGACTGTTTTATCGAGAACAAACAAAGTTACCAGGAAGATACCTAAGTTAATTATTTCCATTAGTTGATGAGAGAATTATTTGACACTAAACATTCAGTATTAATCTATACCGTTACATCAATCCAATTCAATAAAAATTTCACCTGATAAATGAATTGAATAATTAATCAAACAAGAGATTACTTACACACGTCCTTAATTGTAACTCTATTATTAATAAAATCATCTTTACAGTAAGTGAATTTTCAATTGCATTCAGAATCCTAATTATTTATTAAACGTCACTCATCTATCTAAGTAAAAATTCATTTAAGCCATAGTTTGTGTGTACGGGCTAGTGATACTATCCAGATACGCCTCCCTTCCATGGAACTGTAGTACATACAGCGGAACTCGAAACTAACACTTAGTAATTCAAAGTCGAACACCCACTCTTCACACTACTCCATGACATCTAGCCACAATCAAAATATTATCATCAAGTTATGAGTTACAAATAAAGAAATAAAGAACAACAAAAATTCTTTGAAAAGTAAAATTGTATACTCACCTACGTGGGTGCATTACATCAGCTGCTACTAATGTATTATCTAATTCATCATACGATCCAAGATATGGATAATCATTTAATCGTATATGCTCTTCGTAAATACTACCATTTGTTAATCGATCACCAGTCCATTTACTAACCATAGCTGCAATCATTAATGGAATTATATAATTTAAACTAAAAATGGTATTTGTGTTTTTAATAAAAAAAGAAAAAGGAAAACGTACATAATTATTGTTAATCACAAGATACACAATAGACAATAATGAAATAATGAATAAAACGTTGTAACAATAAGAATAATGATGAAGTGAAATCCAGTTTCTTCCTGTTGTACACGTCATTAAAATATTTGTTCAAACTTCCAACATCACTCTCATAATGACAATAATCAATAATCTTAAACACAGTAGGTAGAGAAAAAAATATATCAGTATACTTTCTTTTTAAGAACAAGTACAACAGTGACAGCCCCACAAAGTATTGAAACAAACAATCTGGGAGTAAGTTTAAAATTCATCATCTCGAATTATGAAAATATGTTATATGATAAGGTAAACGAACAAAAAGAAGTCCATATGAAAACTATAGTGATGTAAGATGCAACAATTTAAACCGTTATGCAATGAACACAGGTTGCTTATTGTTTCTAACTGCTTACTCAAATAATTCGCATGAATATGTAATGAAACGAAACAACGCCTTGGATGACAACATATAACAAGATAATATACTGTATATAGTTTGCAAATTTCTTCTAACCAACTAATTGAAAGTAAACTGAAATGAGAAACTAACTAACTGAATACTAATGCACTTGTTCATCATCAACTACGAAAATTATTAAACATCCTGAACACTTGTAAATTTCTATGATACAATATTTTCAATCAGAGAATAAGTATGTTGTAGGCAAATAGATTTCCATATATATGTCTAAACTTATGCTTCATTCTAAATAAGAATAAGGAAATATAAGTAAATTTAATGACTCGGAAAAAAAAATTCTGCAGCATGATATTCTGCTTTCATGATCAGATAGTAACTGAGATAATTAATTTGTACAAAACTTTAAAAAAAAGGAAGAATGAAAATGAAAAAATGAGACATGTTATCTCTATCCTATGGGTAAGTTAATCAAATAATTGATACAGATTAATCAATCAAAAAATAGAAGAATCCGATTACATTGATTGATGCAATATGCTTCGAAATTATTTGGTTAAGAGTAGTCGACAGGAATGCTTGAATCTAGGTTTCGCATAGGTAGATATGCATCAGCTACCCGTATCTACATTCATGAAGGAAGTGATGCTTTACGTGAAATCGTTTGTTTGTTATCTTGAATGGATGTGAATTTTAAAATACCACAACGACAAATACATTAAAACGCAGGGTATCTTTGATTAAGTGTCATCTTATATAATTTAATATTAGCAGAGAGAACATCTAAAGGGAAGGATGTTCACGGATCTTCTTTAATTTGAAGTGTGTTGTCAACACAAATTAACATCAGTAAAAAACTGATTCGTTTTAGTTTAAAACACTCATAATTCATCAAGGGACTAAACCCATGTGACATGATACTGGATGTTGGCAGCATATTATAATTTGGTATGATGTTGATTACTGTTGTTAGTGGTGCGGCTATTTCCTATAACCGTGGAATGGCTGCTGCTTACTACGACGGACAAGACTGTTATGCCATCGCAAGGTGAAATTTTTTTTATTCAATAACTGCTAATTAAAACAACATCAAAAAGATAACAATGAAATATATAACGTTTTAAATATTCAGTCAATTGGTAACTTTGAATGTCTTGAGCGAGCAGTAGTCGACATTGGGTGAGAATAATTCGATGTGTTTATATAATTTACAAAGCCAATAAATTAATTGTCTTAGCTAAGAGATACAACTCATCACTGAATCATGTATTTGTTTTCTTCTTAACACGGAAAAATTTGGTTTTCTTATGTTTTATTGATATTGAAGTAAGTTTTCCGTTCGACTGATATTATTCGATATTTGCCTTTTGTGTATTACCTGTTATTCTCTACTATTCCTCGTTTTGTAGTTTTGAGGAGAGTGTTGAAAGCAGTCGGTAAAGATAGATATTTAAAACCTTATAAACTTCTGAAAGTGTTGTCTTATCGCATATAAACCACCAACTCCATTCACGTCTTTCTCCTTGTGTATTTTCTGGTGTAACTCCGACTGGAGCGCCCCTTGAGGCTCCTGCCGAGCCCAGGCCCGGATAAAGGAGGAGGGTTGGACATGGGGTTAGCAACCCCATCCCGTAGAAAACTAACTCGCTAAAAAAACGCTAACCAGAAAAAATTATTCAAACCTTTCAAACTCTGCCCTGGGAGCCAGAAGGTCTTCATTTAGAAAAGTTATGACGCCTCATGATGAAAGCCGAGTTCCTTCGGAAGTTACGAGGCCGATGCCCCTTCTGACAACCAGAGCGACCATTTATTTAGGTACATGGAATATTCGTACAATGTGGGACACCAGGAGAGCCTTCCAAATTGCTGCAGAAATGAGGAGATACAACCTAGAGGTACTTGGGATCGGTGAAACACAGTGGACGCTTCTGTTATACTCCAGTAATGCCCAACATACGCAAGGAGTTGCATCGACGCTATCCGAACAAGCACAAAATGCACTTATAGGATGGGAATCTCATGGACCAAGGATCATCAAAGCCTCGTTTAAAACAAAGAAAGAGGGCATTTCAATGAACGTCATCCAATGCTATGCGCCTACCAACGACTACAATGAAGACGCTAAAGATCAAATCTACGATAGGCTGCAGTCAATCATCGAGAATCGCCCAACAAAGGACCTGACCATTCTGATGGGAGATTTAAATGCCAAGGTTGGAATGGACAACACCAGATATAAAGACATCATGGGACGACAAGGACTGGGAGAAAGGAACGAAAATGGTGAGATTTGCAAACCTAAATGCCTTCAATAAACTGGTCATGGGCGGCACTATATTCCCACATAAACGCATACACAAAACTATATAGGCTTCACTGCATCACATATCTGACCATATCTGAATTAACAAGAAGTTCAGGAGGAGGATGTGAGAACCAAGAGAGAAGCTGATATAGCATCAGATCATCAATTGCTGGTCGCCAAGATGAAACTAAAACTTAAAAAGCACTGGACAACGTAGCGGACAATATCACAAAAGTTCAATATGGCCTTTCTTCAGGATACTGATAAACTCAATGAATTCAAGATAGCTCCCAACAACAGGTTCCAAGCCTTACAGGATCTACTGAAAGAAGAAGAAACTACTATGGAGGACAACTGGAAAAGTATCAAAGAAGCATTAACTTCAACGTGTCAGGAGGTTCTGGGCCTCAAGAAGCATCATCATAAGGAATGGATCTCTATAGAAACACTGGACAGGATCAAAGAAAGGAAGAACAAGAAGACAGTAATTAACAACAGCCGAACAAGAGCAGAGAAAGTCAAGGCACAAGCTGAGTACATAGAAGCAAACAAGCAAGTGAATAAGAGCATTAGAGCCGGCAAGCAGAAATACGTGGAAGAACTAGCAACGACGGTGGAAAAAGCTGCAAGAGAAGGAGACATGAAACAACTGTATGACACATTAAACAAAATCGCTGGGAATTGACGTAAACGAGAACGATCAGTGAAAAGTAAGGAAGGCAATATTGAAGAACAACGAAACAGGTGGGTAGAAAACTTCAAAGAAATCTTGAATCGACTAGCCCCACTGAACCCACCCAACATCGAAGCAACACACACAGACCTCCCAGTCGATATTGGCACACCAACAATTGAAGAGATCAGCATGGCCATCATCAAGTCAAGAGCGGAAAAGCAGAAGTATCAGACAACATTTCAGCAGAGGCACTGACAGCGGACGTAGCGGCAACTGCAATATTACTCTACTCGACATTATCTTCAGCAAGATTTGGGATGAAGAACAACTACCAACAGATTGCAAAGAAAAACTTTCGGTCAAGATACCAAAGAAAGGCGATCTCAGCAAGTGTGATAACTATAGGGGCATCACTCTTCTCTCAATACCAGAAAAAGTCTTCAACAAAGTATTATTAAACAGAATGCAGGGCTCCGAAAACACCCAACTTCGAGATCAACAGGCTGGATTCCGTAAGGATAGATCGTGTACAGACCAAATCGCAACTCTACGGATCATTGTGGAACAATCAATTGAATGGAATTCATCACTCTACATCAACTTCATTGACTACGAAAAAGCATCTGATAGTGTGGACAGGACAAAATTATGGAAGTTCCTTAGACACTACGACGTGCCTCAGAAGATAGTCAATATCATACAGAATACTTATGATGGATTAAACCGCAAAATCGTGCATAGAGGACAATTGACAGACTCGTTCGAAGTAAAGACCGGTGTCAGGCAAGGTTACTTACTCTCACTCTTTCTCTTTTTCCTGGTGATCGACTGGATCATGAAGACGTCAACATCTGGGGGAAGCATGGGATACAGTGGACAGCTGGACAATCTAGACTTACAAGATGACCTGACTCTTCTATCGCAAACGCAACAACAAATGCAGAAGACGACCATTGTAGCAGCAACCTCAACAGCAGTAGGTCTCAATATACACAAAGAGAAGAGCAGGATTCTCCGATACAACACAACATGCACCAATCCAATCACACTTCACGCAAAAAGATTTGGAAGATGTAAAAATCTTTACATATCTCGGCAACATCATTGATGAACACGGTGGATCTGATGCAGATGTGAAAGCGCGGACCGGCAAAGCAAGATCAGCATATTTACAACTGAAAAACATCTGGAAATCAAAGCAGTTGTCAACCGACATCAAGGTCAGGATTTTAAATACAAATGTCAAGACAGTGCTACTGTATGGGGCGGAAATCTGGAGAACTACGAAAGCCGTCATCCAGAAGATACAAGTGTTTGTTACCAATTGTTTACACAAAATACTTCGAATTTGTCGGCCAGACATTATATCAGCAACAACCTACTGTGGGAGAGAACAAACCAGATTTCAGTGGTGGAAGAAATCAGAAAGAAACGCTGGAAGTGGATGGGACACACATTGAGGAAAGCACCCAACTGCGTCACAACGCATGTCCTCACTTGAAATCCTCAAGGCCAAAGAACACATTACTCCGAGAAATGGAGACAGACATGAGAAGAATGAACAACAATTGAATAGAACTAGAAGGGAAGGCCCAGGACAGAGTGGGTTGGAGAATGCTGGTTGGCGGCCTATGCTCCTTCACGAGAAGTAACAGGCGTAAGTAAGATACTCTTATAATCTTGAAAACATTTCACTGAATTCCAGATAGTTTATATATATATATATATATATATATATATATATATATATATATATATCGATGGTTCTTTTTTCTTAAAAGAACTTATTAAAGTATTTTGTACTAAGAATTCCATACTGCACTAATCATATAATACTGAGTAAAACCATTGACAATAATAATAGTGTCGCAAATCGACTAAAGTCGGAGACATAGATCACTGGATTCTGATATAGTTGTCTAGAAGTAACATGTTGGTTGCAAAAACCTGCAAGTCACAAGTTCCATTCTTCCAGTGAGATTATAAGAGGACACTATCACTGAGGAGAATTAATGAAGAATAAAAAGCTTCTATCCAACACCTAATGGTTTTCGCTCATTCACCAACTGATATCAACTTCTGATGATAACAACTTTTGAACTAAAGATTGACTTAGTATAATTTATAGTGAAGAAAAAGCCATGTTTACACATCAAAAGTGACATCAATTGGTGTTTTATGTGAAGTACAATTGACTAGATACTGTTAAACTTCCTATTGAAATCCTTGCTCTTAGTCTAAATAAAATTGGTTAATACAATGGAAATTATGAACACCATAGAGAACAAACTTATCAAATAGCATTGTTGATGAATCCAAAATCAGTGGAATACGTTTTCAATTAAAATTAGTACCAGAATAAATCAGACCTTAAAAAAATATGGAAATATCTACAAAACTAACTAATTTCTCATAATCAATTACCAAACCCTACGAATAGAATAACAATAAAAAACATTACATGGAATGACACAATAGTCCAATTAAATTTCTATAACTTTTATGCGATTGTGTCAAGAAGAAAACAATTGACTAATTATATATCTTATTTGAAACAGTTAAGTTATGGATTATTTTAATCGTATGCATAGAATGAACTATTGATTGAGTAATACCAACACCAGTGCCAGTTCAATACTCATGACATACATGTCAGTATAATTGTATATATCGTTTTAACCAGTCATGAATTATTGGATCAATCTTACTATCCTTATTTGCAGTCATTAATATTAGTCTTTATTTCATTAAAGTAAGTAAGCAAGTGACAGATATCAGCATTTCGACAAATAATAACAATAAAACTAACAAAATAGTAACAGTAAATTTACCCGCCAGTTAACTCAAGCATAACTACAACTAATGATATAGTCATTCTAGTCACACCACCAAGAGTAGCCGCTGCTCCAACCATAGCATAAAGTCCCGGATTAATACACGGTTGAGATGATTTACACATTTTAACAATAAATGGATGTGATGCATACGCTACAACAAGTTGTTCAGTAGCTATACCCAACATACGACCCATTATTGCACCAGCCTGAATTATATTAAAAGAGAAAAATTAAATTGAAATTAAACAATTTAAAGAAAAAAAGGAAACAATAAGCCACGATTCACCTCATTACACAAACTAAACTTGAAATACAGTTTAAGGTTTACAAGCATTATAAGCAAAGATGGATAGTGGCTAGCAGTGGAATCCAGGACATACGCACAGTATGCACATATGCCAATAAGAGACTGATCAATTTCAGTCCTAAAACATCAATGGGAAGATTCAAGTAAAATAATACCAAGTGAATTAAAGTTTAAGGTTTATTCATAGGACGGTGGTTGTATGGAAATCAATTACTAATTCATCTAGGAACTTGCTGGATCCGTAATTGAGACAATTCTAAGATCATTAACTTAGATTTAGCAAGTAAAAAGCAATGCATTTTTACTAGTAACTGCCAGAAAAATGGCCAAAACAAGGAAAACGTACTGCTAACGATGGAATAAATAAACCAGTCGGTACTTTGATACCAAATGTGAAAACAGTTAGAATAAGTTTTAAAATCAATGCGATTGCCAACAATACCATTGCTGTAGACAATGATGGTCCGGCAGGATAATTCTGATATACTTTAGTCATTGGATTGCTTGTATTATAGTGATAATCACTGAAGAAAAGAGGGAGAAAAAACAAAACAAAAGATGGAGATTGTAAGCAGAATCTCGATTATATCATGATATAAAAAATGATTATTTATTCTAAAGCAAATGAAAAATAAGTACATGAGAAATTGACATGATAGATAAATAATAATCTGGATTATTCACTTGGTACATGTTTTGTGTACTTAGTTTGGAGACATCGGATGAGGCCAGTTGTAATAGGTGTACGTTTATTGGCCCAAGTTGCCACACTAATTTCAAAATGAAATAAGTTAGCAAAGATTTGTAAAAGTGCTTAAACACTATTGGTATAATGGATAGTAAGAAATATGAAACACGGTTTATGGTTGAAAATGAAATGGAAAAATAAAAGGTACGGAATAACATTGAAACTGAAGACCTATAATAAAATAATGATGAATGCACTTGCGACATAGGGACTGATTTTGAAAAAAAAGTCAAATAAGATCTCCAAAAATTGTGCGACCCCTAACCAGGTGTTCTGTAGCCAGCAACACTGCTCAAAACAACAACCACTGTCACCATGGATCGGTGGCACGCCGTTACCTCGCCACTCTCAGCTATTCTTGAAACTAGTTCCACCCAAGCCAGAATAATTGAGAGGGATGTACAGTACATTTGCCGCCTGAGTGACAAGTGCATAAATACTTTGCGCCACAGGCGACGCAGGTTGTTAAAAAAGAGTTGATAACATTTCCAAGATAACTGAATTGATTAGAGCTTCTGATTGCTCCATCCTCTTAAATTATAATGCACATCAACACAGACTAGTCCTAAAACTTTTTTTCATTTAAATGGTGAGCCGTACTGTAGGGAACAAGAACACCATTGGGGACAATCGAATGTACTTAATACAAAATTACAGGACTTGTTAATATAATCTAACAATCATAAAGTAAATGCTTAATTTGCAAAATTTCCACCAACTGTCTCAAAATGACTCGGACTCCATTGTTCTTGCATTTTCATACAAATTGTATCCTGTTTCCATTCCTTACTGTTCGATCCTCTTGTCTCTCTGATGCCAGACCTTCTGTTCACGACTAACATCATATACTACTTATGTCAATATAAGTAGCACACACTACAATACTACTAGGGCATCTCAAATTGTTTCAGGAGAAACGGAGTTCAGACCTACATTTTACTGACAGAAATCAAAAGAGAAATGTTGCAAAGGTATTCAAACCTCAGGATGGTAGAAAACCAGTATTGTTATTCAAAATCTCAATATTCACATTTTTAAAACCATTTAGTATTGTGAATTGAGCAGAGATGTAATAGACCATACAACGGTATACTTCTAGTTACTATTTACAAAGAAAATTAAATCATCCTAACGTTGGTGACCAGTGTATTTCTTGCAATTTAAACTATGAGTTATCATGTAACCACGAAGAACAACAACTATTGTTTGATAAAAAGTATTTATTCTATGTGTGTTGTAAGCCATGTGATATTATATATATATATATATATATATATATATATATATATATATATCAGTTTATATAATTGTACGAGAAAATCAATGATTAATCTCTTATCAGTAAACATAATTGCTTTTTAAACACGTTCCCACCAGTAAACCATAATTGTAAAATATCTTATTGATAAAAACTAGCTAATGTATATAGGTGTGAAAAATGATGAGAACATACAAAATGAAAGAAATTCAATGCATTCTATGCGAAGTTTGTTTGTTCTTATTTGAGAAAAGATTGTCAAGATAATTCATTGTATGAGAAAGAAGACTGAAAACGTCCAAAACTTTACGTGCAAGCTATGTATTACAATCGCGTTTAAATAAATCGTAGAAAGAATTTTTCGATTACGATCAACCGCTACGAATCTTACTATCTTTAGTTCTGTAAAGTTGACAAAGTAAAACGGTTCGTTTGCTCAGAGAAATAAATTTGAAGTAAAAGTCCTTAGGTGTGTTTTGTTTTTTGCTAAGTAGAAGTTTAAACGTTCCTAATGAATAAAATATGAGAAATCAAAAAACCAGAGGCTGCAAATATTTATTTCAATACCCAATTAAGATATATATGTAGGGACATCCAGATGACGAGTTCCGAACAGGATGAAGCGCGCGTCCTAGATTATATTTCTAATTACGTCCGATCTATTCTATATCAAGACATAACATTATTATCCACAGTTATTTTCCAGATATCTTGAAGGTTTAACCGAAACATTATACAAATCTTGATGGTCTTGAATTCAATATTGGGAGAAGTCGTGAGCAGCTACTGAATTCAAGAAGTCTCCAAAATAACAAGGTGAAACAAAACAGTAAACACCATTTATTAAAACTAACAAAATACCTGAACATTCTGAATTTTACATCGGTAATAAATTATGCATTAGCACTACTTTCACCATTACCCGAAAGTTGAATAAAATTAAACCTCTAATTTGTGTGTAGTGGATTATTAATGAATAACCTTCGCTAACGACTACTATCAGTCATATGGAGCAGCTGGTTAAACAAAATTAAATGAAGCAATCTGAGTTGATTTGTTTGAGATGATGAAAAGGATTTGTCACCCAGGTTGATGATTTTGGTGAGCTCAAAAGTTTAATTGTGAACTATCTATTGTCCTACTGGACAACATAATCAGAACTAACTTCCGATATATGTTCAGCCTGGTGTTATCCAGAAGGACGATAGACGTTTCACAGTTAAACAATACATCTCATAGGATGAAATTCAATTGGCGTAAAAAAACTATAGAATTAATTATATGTAACCAATAAGTATCATGTCAATAAGCATAAATATAATTTGTCTTCTTACCACAGAGAGAAATCAGATCCTGGAGAACAGCGACTAACTAAAAGTTTAATCAGTTCACTGGTATTCATACGAAGATAAGTATGTGGAAATGAAAGAACAGCAGTAATTAGCGTAACAATAAGTACCTCACGAACAGGATATTTACCTAACCAGGTGGTTTTACGCAAACGACAGATATACAAATTCGCTCGATTGAATACTGTACCAAAAATACCCTGTAATATATAAATTATTATTATATGAATAAATAATTTTTTGGAATTCAGAAACAAAAATAACTAAATAATGTCTTCTAGAAAGGTTGGAAAAATACTGATTAGTCTCAAAATGAGACTGTCGAAATCTCAAAGATAAGTTGACCTAAACGAATGAAATATATTGAAACTAACTCTAACCATATTTTTGAGAGAATCATAATCGGGAAGGTTGAAAACAATAAGTCACGAGTTCTACAAGTCAATATAATGAAATAATGCACAAAACTGGAGATTTTAATGAATTGACACAACTCTGAACCTTTTACAAGTATACTGCCTACTCAATAGTATCGCGTTTTCGACATTTTAAGATATTTGTACAGAGCTTATGTTTTCCAAACTCCGCCTGTAGCTCTTCTAGAGTTACTGCCGGTCCCAAGCCCGGGTAAAGCAGGAGGGTTAGGCATGGGGTTAGAGACCCCATCCCGTAGAAAACTAACTCGCTAAAAAAACACTAACCACGAAAAATGATTCAAACCATTTAAACTCTGGCCTGGGAGTTAGAAGGTCTTCATTTAAAAGAACTATGGCGCCTCTTGGTGAAAGTCGAGGCTGATGCCCCTTCTAACAACCAGAGCAAGAATTTTTGTAGGTACATGGAACGTCCGAACAATATGGGAGACCGGGAAGACCAGTCAAATAGCAACGAAAATGAGGAGATACAACTTGGCAGTACTGGGAATCAGCGAAAACCATTGTACCAACCTGGACAACAAAGGCTAGATACTCCGGTCACGAAGAGGAAAATGCTCCACACACTCAGGGAATCGCTCTAATGCTGTCCAAAGTAACTTAAAATGCACTTGTAGGATGGGAATCTCACGGATCCAAAATCATCAAAGCATCATTCAAAACAAAGAAGGAGGGGATCACAATGAATATTATCCAATATTATGCACTCACCAATGATAGCAACGACGACATTAAAGATCAATTCTACGAGCGGCTGCAGTCAATCATAGAGAAGTGTCAAAGAAAGGACCTCACCATTCTGATGGGAAATCTAAACGACAAAGTCGGAAAAGACAACACCGGATATGAAGATATCATGGGACGACATGGACTGGGAGAGAGAAACGAAAATGGGCAAAGATTTGCAAATCTGTGTGCATTCAACAAACTGAGCATATGCGGCACAATATTTCCACACAAACGTATACGCAAAGCTACATGGACCTCACCGTACTACACCACAGAGAACCAGATAGATCATAATTGCATCAATAAAAAATTCCGAAGGACAATGGAAGATATGAGAACCAGAATAGGAGCTGACATAGATTCAGATCATCACCTGGTGGTGGCTATTATTATTATGATTATTATTAGCTTTAATCAATATGATATTTTTGGTACAATATAGAATTCTCAGCGCAAAGTATTTCAACAAGTTTCCGTTTTTTTCTTCTTGGTCGGTTTTGGCGATAAATATTGAGTGATCGCCAGTAAGATATTAGCAGTTCACTGAATGAACATCTGAATAATGTGCAGTCTTTTCGTTGTATATTGTCAGCAACCACGTTGTCTCTTATTGAGCTTTTTGTAACTTTGACAACGAAAGGTTGAACACTTTTCAGAAACGCAGCAGAATGGGTTATGCGATTAATAGACATAACGATACATTAAAACAAATAAAAACAGATAACTTGTTGAAATATCTAGATGGCAGGAACAGGTTGCCCAAATGCTCAAGGCTAAGATGAAACTGAAGCTAAAGGAACAGTGGACAGCTGGAAGAACAGCATTATAAAGGTTCAACACAGCTTCCTTCAAGATACTAATAAACTCATTGAATTCAAAATAACTCACAACAAAAGGTTCCAAGCCTTACAGGATCTACTGAAAGAAGAAGAAACTACCATGGAGAAAAACTGGAAAAGTATCAAAGAAGCATTAATTTCAGCTTGTCAGGAGGTTATGGGCCATAAGAAGCATCATCATAAGGGATGGATCTCTACGGAAACTCTAGAAAAGATTCAAGAGGGGAAGAACAAGAAAACAAAAATTAACAACAGCCGAAAAGAGTGGAGAAGGTCAAGGCACGAGTTGAGTACACTGAGGCAAATAAGCAAGGGAAGAAGAGCATTAAAGCCGACAAGCAGAAATACGTGGAAGAACTAGCAACGACGGCGTAAAAAGTTGCAAGAAAAGGAAATATGTAACAGCTTTACGATACAAAGAAGAAACGAGCAGGGAAACATAGCAAACCAGAGAGACCGGTCAAAGACAAAGAAGGCAGGCCAATCACTCAAATTCAATTCCTTGTCCATGAGAAAGCATTTGACAGTGTGGATAGGAAAACAGTATGCAAACTTCTTCAACAGTATGATGAACATGAGAAAATCGTCAACATCATCCGGAATTCGTACGACGGACTACACTCTAAAGTCGTGCATGTTCGACAGCTGACAGATACATTCTAAGTGAAAACAGGAATAAGATAAACACCCTTACTCTTACTTTTTCTCTTTCTTACGGTGGTCGGTTGGATTATAGACACCTCAACATCTCATACATGATGGGGGAAACTCTAGAACAGGTGCGAACTTTCACGTATCTGAACAGAATCTTCGATGGGCGAGGCGGGTCGGATGCAGACGTAAAGGTGTGGATTGGCAAAGCAAGGACAGCATTCATACAGTTGAAGAACATATGGAACTAAAAACAACTCTCAACCAATACCAAAGTCAGAATTCTCAATACGAACGTCAAGACAGTTCTACTGTACGGAGCTCAAACGTGAAGAACTACCACAACCATCATCAAAAACGCACAAGTATTTATAAACAATTGTCTACATAAGATACTCAATTTCCGTTGGTCGGATACCATCAGAAACAACCTACAGTGAGAGAGAACAAGCCAGTTTCCAGCTGAGGAGGAAATTAAGAAATGACGATGAAAATGGATAGGACACACATTAGGCAAATCATCAAACTGAATCACGAGGCAAGGACTAACTTGGAATTCTGAACCGAAACTAAAAACAAAAAGACCAAAGTACACACTATGCGGGGAATTTGAAGCAGATATGAAAAGGATGGATAACAACTAGAAAGGATTGCTCAGGACAGAGTTGCACGGAGAATGCTAATGAGCAGTCTATGCTCCTTTACGAAGGGGTAACAGTTGTGAGTACGTTTCCCACACATAGCCGTGTCTTATACAAACAGGAAGTATTATAAAACTTAGATTTAAAAATAGCATAATTATAACTCGAAAGATATTCGGTGTGAAGGTAAGATCTGAAAAATAAATGGGCCATAACACAAGATTAAAACTATCATTTCCATAAGGCTAGCATATTGTCAACTTCGAACAGCTGTCCATTGAGCTAAGCTTACATTGAAAAAATTCTATGGTCCTTCTTCACGAGGGGTAGCAGGTGTAAGTAAGTTTCCCAAACATAACCGTATCGTATATAAACATGAAGTAATTAGGACAATGAGAATGATCTGTAGCTCTGGGTAGACCATAATGTATTAGTGAAAATATCATCTGACACGAAGACTGCTGATAAAACATTTTTTTAATCGATCTATTTAAATCTAGCTACAGTTAACGGAGATTAAAATCCGAATACCTATTGTTGGTGAGGAGATATAAAGAGCATCCGTTTGGTTTAAATAGCTTTACGGTAGTTTACGTCATTTTACAACTGTAAGTACCACTTTTAAGTAGTAGTTGGGTTCTCGTGTCTAATAGTAAAATCCAGCTACATAGATTGTACCACTTGTTCCTTTAAGTAATACTATGACAAGCAGGTTGGTTGATTAACAGTAGTAATAAAAGCACCAAACCCACGGTCCGAATGTAGAATGATACTACTTACAGTATCAAGTTGCGTCTAATCCAGACAACTAGCACCTAAAGTAATGCTACCCTCGTTCATAAAAAACGAGAATTAGAAAAGGTCTATTCCATTTTAACCCATGAATTTTCTGCCTCTCATGGTAAGGCCTTTTGAGGTACGGAGCCTACACACCAAAACTTTGTCACAAAAGGACCATGTATCGTCGACTTAGTATTCATTTTGTTCCTTTCTTCCAAATGGCAAGAAATAACGAATTAAACTACCTATAATCATGTGTAAAAATCAAAATGGAAATTAATTAATATGTGTAGCCATAGACTAAAACTACAGACAACTTACTCCAAGTAAACCGAGTAAAGCGAATGGAATTAATTCCATCACATGCCATTGTGCTTGATAATCGACATAGAACATAATCATATTATCACTACCATATGGATTTAAAATACGCAAAACATTAGCTGATACCATAGCACAGAAAAACGATCGGAACATTGTTTTCATTGGAAAATAATAACTAGCTTCTTCTAGTGAAAAAAGAACACCACCAATTGGCGCACCAAATGCAACGGCAACTCCAGCAGCTGCTGAAGCTGAAAGGATCTAGTATTTCGGAGGAAAAAAAGAGGCAGAACCAGGAAGTAAAAATAACAACAATAAGTGGAAATCAGTAAAATGAAGTTTGATTTTAAGGAACTTGTTTAGTTTAAAAAATGATGATAACTAATAATAATATTCACTACGAAGTGATATATATTGGGAGAATACTGAGAACTAAACAATTAAGATCGAAAGACAATCAGCAACATGTATATTTTGTAGATGCAGACTACCTGAATAGGGTCGGTGCAGTAAACGTGACCGGATTTTGAAAGCATTGAGTGAGATGGTTCATAATCGAGCACAGTGGTCCGGATGGATTCAATCCTTATCCTCCTTGAGATCTTAAGTTCCAGTATTTCTTGACAAATATCTTTTATTTCTGTCTATCATATTAATTCGATACCTTCACTACACATTTGGCTAATTTTATCCCGTTGTGCTAATGTGATATGGGCAATTCGGGTCAGGGAACATTTGTGGCCGATTCTACGTTGATTATGACTGATTGACTTTTTTTGCAGTCTACACTAAAAGATCAAAGTTGAGACTTAAAAAACCTTTGGTAAGAAATTTATAGCGGTTCAAACTATCTTCAAAACAACAAAATTTTTCAAAAAAAATTCAAAGATTTCATCAGATCAATCAATTTTCACTTCGATGTAACGCTTAGAGTAAATTAAATTCAGTCAATCAGTCAATTAGCTACAACGAAGGACCAGGCACATATACGCCATACTTCATTAGCACAGCAAGACGAACACCGGATTCATAGAAGCAGTTAATTCAATGGTGGTAATATATAAAAATACTGCATATAAGGATATAATACAGGAAGAAAGAATTAGTTCATAGGAAGAAAGATATGAAGTGATCTTATAGTTTAAGGGAAGACAAAGAGTGTATAAACCTAAACCATTGTGATCTAGTCTGAGCTATGTCACCCATGATCTCTAACTATTTGTTTCGATAATCATGCTGACCCCAACCCAGTAGTCTGCATCTATCAATATGGCTAAGAATAGAAGTTAGTGACTTCAAGCACTGATGCCACGTTTTGGTTTGGCCAACCCTAACTTTCTTCCAATCATTCCCAACACTAGTCAGCATTGCACATCGTCGTAATCGGCGTTCAGCCATACGTAATACGTGGCCCAACCATCTCAGTCCATGAACATTCACAACCTCATCAACTGATTTACCATCATTCCCTAATACCCTAAGTCTAACCTCACTATTACTTACCCGGTGATCCTAGCAGATGTGAGCAATATTTCTGAGGCATCTGTGGTCAAATACTAGTAACTTACGAGTATCTTCTACTCTTAAAGGCCATGTTTCGCTGCCGTAAAGTAGAACAGAACAAACTGCCGTGCAGTATACTCGTCCCTTAATTGATAGACGGATATCTTGCCTTCGTCATAGGTGACGTAAGTTAGCAGAAGCCAAACGAGCCTTCTGAACCCGCGATAAGACTACCTCAGACACCAACCCATTAGGGCTGATCAGACTTCCAAGATAAGTGAAGTTGTCAACGCGTTCGACTACTTCACCCCCCATCCTTAGTTCAGGTGTTGACGCAGGTCAGTCCTGCAGGAACAGACATCTCTGAAGAGCATCTTGCGTATATCAACCAATAGATTTTATCTCATTAGCCTATAATTAATTCGATAGTGGCTTAGCAAACCCAAGAAAAAGATTTTGGTTAAAATTTCTTTGTGGTAGGCGATTTACTGATGATGCCTTCTTCGCTCTTTCAAAACATAATATCAGCAAAATCATTTTGAAAAAGTGAGTTATTAGAATTTTGTCGTAGAAACGAAACTATTTGTCCAATGATACATGACAAGAATGGTCGCTGATAACAACTATGATCTTAGTATTTAAACAAAAACTTAGAGTAGATTAAACTGAGACGGCCTATGATATTGTTGTCAAGTATATTACATCCCGTTAGTTTGAAAATTGGACTTATGACACCCCTGTTGATTTCAGAGCGTACAATCACTTACATACAGACATAAGCTAATAAACGTCATCAGATCGAATATCTAATGGTTGTTCACGTAAGCGAAGAGGGCACCTACGTTGTATGATCTAGTATTGTGGTTGTTTCTTTGAAAACGTATCCAAGTTTATTTTCTTTGTCATTACACTCTACATTGTGTTTTGTGAGATATTATTGACTTTTTGAACTGAATTAATGCCAGAAATCATACAAAGATTGGTTGTAATAACTGATTAGATAGTCTCGAGTTATCTAATCCTTGTTAATAAGTGTAAATTGCTTTATCATAATGATGACCGTAAAAATGGTTTTGCTTATTCATATTAGCGTATGACCTTTTTCTGATTTTTGATTAATTATTAAAAAATTGAGTTTGTCTATTTTCAAGTGCACACCGTCTTTAGAACCACAATCGGGGAGTTGTGATGTAGCAACAAAAGCAAGTCCTATACAGCTTTCTTTCATACCATGACACCATGTCATACACTGACCACCTCTCCGTTTTCCCAACCAGTCCCAGCGTCGGAAAATAATGCACGATGTGAAATTCTTCGGGACGACATTAGGAAGACATCTCCAAGCCACTGAAGTAGAGGTGAGTTTAAGTGATAGTCAGTTAGCGGTGAGTGCTGAAAATCTTAAATCCTAGATTAATAGCTTATATCGATTGCTGACAACTGTCTTACATAGACCACAACAAGTTCGTAAAATATTATTTCACAACAGCTATTATCTTAGAAAACTTGCCTCCCGTTTTTTAGCTTCATTTTGACCATATTTGGGAAAGAAATGTGCGAATATATTTCCAACACAGGCAGCCATATGAACCATGGGTCCTTCTTTACCAAGATTTAAACCAGCACTTACTCCAAGAATCATACCAATCGATTTTATCAGAAGAGTCCATTTCCCTAAGTAACCACGTATAATGAATCCACCTAGAATAGTCTTGATTTCAGGAATACCGCTACCTAAAATCAAATATGGAAAAAACAGATGTTAAAAAAGCAGATTTTCTCAATATAAAGAACAACACATTAACTAAATGGTTGGTCTAGATAATCTAGGACATACATATAGTGAAGGTTGGAAACCCAAATCAATGACCGGACACCATTAGTGACGTAACTCAGTCTCCGTATACAGCACAAATACATTCAAATATTGTTTATCAACATCTTTAAATTATGTTTCTTGTAACTTTGAAGAATATTTCAGATAACATTACAGATTGAAGATACATATCACAGTACTATTTGAAAACGTAGGTTTTTTAATCATTTTAATACCACAAAGAGCATACGTTCCTCAAGTATTCAATTTTACAACGAAATGAACGAAAATGATCTGTAATCTGGGAGGCCAGTACCAAATACGCTTCATTTTCACTATTCAGAATGACATCCCGCGGAACATTTAATGTTTTCCAGAAAAATGTGTTTACCCCATTATGTAAGCTTTTAAAACATGAATATTCGGTCTAACTGAATTTATCATCATTAGATGAAAAGTCCTCCTGTCCTTCATTATATATATATATATATATATATATATATATATATATATAACTACCATGAAATATTTCATTGGGTGCGACCAGAATATGTGGAAAAACTAGACAGTAACATAAGTTAGATCATTATAAATTCACTTGTAAAACAATCTGTTTTTATCTATCCAAATAAAAATCTTCATTCCAGCGTCGACGAATAATGCACGACGAGGAATTCTCTGGGACGACATTCGTAGGACATGACCAAGCCACCGAAGTCGATGTTACACGAACATCTCGACTACTTCTATCTGCTCACCATCCAGGGTGAGTACAGGATTAGAATCCTGCCAGTCTTGTAGAATTACTTTGCACTTCGAAGGTGCAAAGCACATGCCATATCTACGGACACTGATTGCCAACTGATTGAGTGCGGATTGTGTGGCTTGGGCATTATTGCACAGTAAGACAATATCATCCGCATACTCAAGGTCCAGAAGTCTTTCTCCAGGCAACAGATCCACACCGCCATTAATTACATCCATCTGAGTTGTTTCCAGAATGTCGTCGATGGCAAAGTTGAAGAGGAATGGTGAGATTGGGCAACCGTGCCTAACCCCACTGCTCGAATGGAACAATGGAGAGAGGTGGTTGTATGCCCTCACTCTGCCTGAGGTGTTTTTATATAGGGCTTTAGGATGTTAATAAACTTCTCAGGCACACCCTTCTTCAATAGACAATCCCAGAGAACAGTCCTGTCCAACGAATCGAAGGCAGACCTGATGTCAAAGAAACACTACGATTGTTGGCCTTTGATAAGTATGGCGGTGTTCTAACATTTGGCGAAGGGTGAGGATATGGTCAATACATCCTCGACCAGAACGAAAACCAGCCTGCTCCTCGCGAGTCAATCTTTCTCGGGTTTTGAACAACCTACGAGGTATGACGGAAGCCAATAACTTGGACGCAATCGGAACTAGACTTATCCCCCGATCGCTGTTACAGGAATGACGTGAACCCTTTTTAAAGATAGGGACAACTATCGACTCATTTCATAACGTCGGTACACTCTTTAGCTCCCTAATCTTTGTAAACAACGCGGACTGTTCCTTAACCAGAAAGTCATCACCATATTTAAAAAGGGCCGAAGTAAGTCATCTGGGCCAGGTGATTTGTAGCGCTTTAAGAGTTGGAGTTCCTTGGAGACTTCCGCCTCATTTGGTGGGTCAGTCGTCATCGACCATGGAGGGCGGGACAATTTGACCTATGTTGCCGGAGCAGTAGGCCAGTTGAACTGCCCTTCGAAGAATTCTGCCCATCGTCCAAGACGTCGATGGATGTTAGTGATTGGCATCCCGTCATCCTCACAGATTGTTTCGCTCACACCAGACTTCTTGCTGCCAGTGGCTCGGATGAGTTGGAAGCGCTTCAAGTAGTTACCAGATGCAGCTACTGCTTCCAGCTCATTAGCACGCTCGGACCACCAGGCTTCTCGGTCCTTACGTAAGCTTTGCCCAATTTCCTTACGTAACATCCTTCCTCTGTGGTCAAACTCACGGTCACCCGGAGTAGACCGACGGGCTTCAATGAGTTGTAAGGAACCTGCAGAAACCCAGTGCTTAAAAGCGGGACGTTTCGCGAAGCCGCAAGCGGCTTTACACGCCATTTTTATGGCGTAATGCAATTGCAACCAATGCTCATCTACAATTTTCGGTGGGATGGTAGCTAGCCTAGAAGCCAGCTCAATTCGATACTTACTTGCAACAGAAGTTGCAACCAGCTTGCTAATATCAATCCGTTGGTGGCGGTCACTTCGTTGTCCACTGAAAAGTAAGGCAAGATTGGCGCAGACCAAGGCATGGTCAGAGTCCAGATAGGTACTCCAAAAGGAGCGGCAGTCTTTTACACAACCACGCCAGCGGTAGCTGATCGCGATGTGATCAATCTGAGTCCAGGCTTGAGATGTAGAGGGAGGACGCCAGGTGGCACATCGGCGATGACTGTGCCGAAAGTTAGTGCTAGCCAGAAACAGGTTGTGGTCTGTGCAAAGTTGCAGTAGACGGTCCCCGTTATCTGACCTGCGACCAACGAGTCCCCATAGGCCACCTAAACGACTCTCTTCTGTGCCTAGACGCCCGACCTGAGCATTCAAGTCTCCGGTTAGTACTACAATATCTGTCGAACGCACTTTCTGGAGAAGAACATATAATTGGTGGTAGAATTCATTCTTGATTGCATCCGGGCTGCAATCTGTCGGAGCATAGGCGGAGATGACGAAAAGACATAGTTTCTCACGCCGATTTCTTCTCACTTTGATGGAACTCTCTAATCTAACAGCACATAACCGACTGTTAATTAAGATCCAATAGATTAGTTCTGCCTCAGCTCTAGCGCTTAGTGCGACACCGACGCCAGCAAGACCAGACGAAGATACCACAGGGTCCCCGGACAAGCGCACGTAAAACAAGCTTTTCGAAGCGACAGATGGAGATCGAATTTGTAGTACTTCACCACAGTCTTGAATACAGATCTCGGATAGACAGCAAACATCAATATTAAGACTTTCCAAAGACATAGCCAGCCCTATCTGTTGTCCAACCTGCATAAGTGTGCGAACGTTGAATGCAGCCAGTTGGAATGGCGCACGTGGTTTCAGAAAAACTGCTTCAGTCCTCGTATTCGGTGGTAACGTACAATTTTCAACCAGGCAGTGACTCGAGAACGTTTAGGTAGAGTCGAATTTTCACCAAAGACGAGCTACTGTATAAGTAGAAAAAATAAGTATAGACGGAGTAGGAATAAAAGAGGGTGAATAATGATGTAGTAAATAATAATAATAATAATAATAATAATAATAATAATAATAATAATAATATGAATCGTTTGACTGTTAATAGAAGCAAGAATAGTATTTTCCGTGAATATCGACATTTCATTATATTTGTTCTATTCACAAATAGAATAGATCATTACCTCGTAGAAGAACGACAAAGGAAAATCGCGGAAATCCAAACGACAGTCTGTTATGTGTATTTTTAAAATATTGAGACTGATTACAGAATAATTTAACGCTATTAATTAAATGTAAAGTAAATTTCAAGCGTGAAAACTCAGTTGACACAGGCAGCTTCCCACAGAGGCCATTTTCCACACTCTACATAAACAATCACAAACTATAAAAAGCGACTTGAATAGATGCACACCATAAAAATTATGAGATTTATATTGAAGAAAAAGCATGCTTACAAGTAGGCAACAGTAACAGTTTTTAATCAAATAATAGTATTTAACATATCTAGGTAATCTAGTCTTTTAGAAAGACCGCATCTACAAATGATTCTCCTGAAGCTAGTGATCTGGGTAAACCGGGACAGGATTTGTGAAAAAGATCATCATGAAAACAAAGAAAATCAAAGGTACTATAATTTTACTTTTTAAAAAAACGAAACCTTACAACTCTTTCAAAGGAAGATGTTAAGAAAGCAAACAAGAGTAAAACTATTGATTGCTGATAGCCGTTCAGTGCAATATTCAATTATATTCTGACTATTTCAGTTATTAGTTATTTCAGTATTATTTCAAGTTTAGCACTTAACTAATATGAAATTCGCTAAACGTTATTATAATTTAGTAAATATATATACTTCTCAGAACAAACCAGGTTGTCTTCTTACTAGTTGAGTGTTGCGTCAATAATAGTGAGGGTAAAGTGTTGAAGAGTCATTCCATTGAGTTCAGTTAGGCCAGTTATGCTTTTATTGGAGTAAATCTTGTATGCTATTATGATGATATTTTCAAATTATATAGCAATGAGCAGGTTATAACAGGCAGTTTATCTTTTTGTGTGAAATAACTTTATGTGAAAGATGTATTATGTTTAAGAAAAAACTTCTTAGCTTGTCATTTGATAGATCGATAAGTAATGTTAGTATGACAACTGCTATACTATTCAATTGTTGAGTTATAATCTATCAACAGTACACATGGAAGACATATTTCAACTGCTTTTACGTTTAAACCTGATGTTCCATATGTATCTCTAATAATGAAAGCATCTATTTTTTTACTGAACTCTGAAACCTTATAGATTGAGTTAACGATGTAAACAAAATTGCATTGAACTAATACCTATAAAAATACAAACACAAACATCATGATGAATCTGTCACTACTATGAAAATTAGTAAAATCACACACGACTTTTAAGTAGTAAATATATTTTCTGAAGAAATTTAGTTTATTTGTTTATTCTATAAAAATAGTTAAGCGACTAATGAAATTCTTAAAAATCAACTCCAAAATTACTCTTTAATATGACAAAAAAAACAACGCATTCGATGTAAACAATGAAAAAGAGAATGCATAAGATTTATTACCACGATATAAAGTAGCTTAAATAATTCGAAAAAATAACTATTGCTCTCATTTGAAAATTCTAGAATTAACATGTACACATTGAATAATTGTTTAAATTAGTAAATGACTGACTAATTTTACGACACTATTTTGATGTATACGGTGAGACTAAGGCGTGATTAGTGAATAAGACCAGACAGATATATTGAGCCATACTAAATATAGGAAGAAATCCAGTATTATTATGCAGCATTGAACTTGTATTCTATTTTAGTTCCACTTACTGACAACTTTGAACTGTATGTTAAAAAAACTTCAGTTCTGATGTAATCTGGTTCTGGATCGTCAGTAGGATGATTGAGTCATCTGTATCACGTGATCAGATAACATGATCTAGCGCACAGGCTAGTGATCTATTAATCTAATATCCAGTGTATAGTCCCTTTACATTAGAACGATGCTGCTACTGTTTTATGAATAAAGGGAAATTGCTACTTGCTACTTATTGCAATTGAACAAAGACTCATAATCACCAACGAAAACAAGGAAAGTAAGACTGAAAATGAAAGATTTATTATACACTTAAACCACTGTATCATAACTGACCAAAACGACATGAAAAATTATAATAATGTTATCTTTGACTATTCGGTCAATAGTTAAATTTGGATATAACAAGCTAGCAATCATTGACATTAGCTTCTTTAATTAATAAATATAATTCAGTATGGGGATTTGTGGAGATTGTAGTATTTTCATAGTTGGATTCACGAGTCGATGTAAGCTAGATCACTACTAAAAACCTGGAAGAACTGGAAGGCCGTATGAGAATCCACAGCGGTGCGCATCCACGACCCCGCACGTGGGACTCGAACACAAAAGCTTCGGTTTCGCACGTGAACATTTAACCTCCAGATTACTGAGCCGACATTCAACGGTGTTAATATCAAACTTCAATCGATCCATGATCTTGCGCAACTCTTCACCCATTGTCCAATGCTTTCAGGTTTTCAACGGTGTTCTAGCTTAAATCAACTTGTGAATTAAACTATGAAAATATAACTCAATTAGTGAGTTACATTTTTATTCTGTCTAAACACAATGCTAGAAGTCTGGCCAATTCATTTCTCAATTTCCTTTATGATATGTATGTGTTCAAAGTATATAGAATGTAATAGATTTATAACGTTCATCACATGGATCAAATAAGTTATTAGGGCGGAAGACAAACGAACCAAAGAAGAAGTGTTACTTAATGTAAAATTTGCTTGTATAGTGATCAATACGTTTAGAAAATATTCAGAGTAGATTTCTTGCATCCTGAACGAGGTCAATCTAAACAACAGAGATTCAAATGATTATCATTCGATGCTGAATACATTTATTCAAGTCAATGAATCAATACATGTTAATTACTAATTCATCCAGTCTTATAATAATATCAATGTACTATGAATGTACATTTTAAGAGTAAGTTATTTTTCGAAATGTAGCAGTCAAACTTTAAAGAGATAATTAATGCAATTAAACTGCCCAGCACAGAGAATACACCATGTCTTAAAAGTGTCCAACTGAGCTACAAATTATCTCCACTGTTTTTAAGGATTTACACATTTTGAAATCACTAGAGTAGGTAATCCTACTTACTAACTGGTATTTAAACTAAATTGAGCTTAATAAAAATGACCTTCAAATCATTTTAGCTATCTTCTTAGGTGGTTCGTTAGTAGAATGTCATGATGAGGCAGTTGATCTGTCTACTAACTCCTGAACTGAAAAACTGAATCAGACGGCTGCAGGAATTTTAATTATATAATATGCCGGTTGACCGACTAAAAGAGATTAATAAGGATTCTTTTGAAAGGGACTTCTGACTGCCATCGAAACTACAATTACACAGGAAGCCGAATGGTTTAAGTTCAGTTTGGTGCACTGGTGAAATATAGTTTTATGTAATGGATTAGTCGACTGATAAGGGGCTTAAAAGTAAGCTCAAAAAGTGCACATATAAGGTAGGTTTGGCTGAATAACTTGACTAGTAAAGAGTACAAAAACCGATAGTTTTAAAACCTACGACAAACTGATAGTCCTCTGAAACTACTTATTTTAACACTTCAAAGATTCAAACACAGTTCAATGTATTGAAAATTAGGAAACTGGGTAAAAGCACCAGCTCTTAGCAGTGATATTCTTGAATTAAATAATCAACTTTCGATTTCTTTCCATTCTCGGTAATTTTTCAGAACTGTTGTTAAATAAACACCTAGTATTAACATTGACGCGGATAATATAATTGATAATCAACAAGTACTCAAAAGTTATCATTCAGAAAAGTAAGATTAAAACTACACATTTACTAGTTCAGTTTCATAACGACATAGTGGACAACATTCTGATTCCTAAAGAGATAGGTAATGAGTTCAAATCTCAGTCTGAACATAAACACTTAGATGCACATGCACATCAAGAACGCGCGTCCTGAATTCCACTACTACTCTAAAAACAACTGTTACTGAATTTAATTAGTTACTAAGTAAAATTTTATGGAATAGTCTCACATTAGCTCTCAAATATAATGTGATACTACTTAGCTACCTAAATCGAAACAGATAGACCAGGATGTACACTGACAATTTCTAAGTCAATATTACTCTGTTTAGTGACCATGAATAATGGAATTTTAAAAAAACACGACCTTTTGTAAACTACATTTTAAGCACAGGCAGTTAAATGTAAAAAATGTCTTACCACAAGCGTAAGGAGCGAACATACGAACAAGAAATACACAAACTAGAGCAAATAATACAGCATAAATAATGTAGAATATGTAACCAACAAAGTAAGCATCTGGATATTCACCAGTTGGATCTTTGTTCATAAAAAGACGAGACCATGAATACCACTAAAATTGAAAGGAGTGAAGAGAACAAAAACAATTACAAAGACTCCACATTGGATAATATTAGTGTGTCCGAATCTTTTTTTCAAACTGAACCTATTGCTTCACTTCTATGGACCAACTACCATTAGAAGTCTTTCTAATTGAACGCTAAATTTGTTCCTAAACTCTTCCAGTAATCCCCAGGCTAGATCTACACAGTGACTTGAACACGACGGAAAGGCGCGAAGTACGTAAGAAACACTTGACTCCGAAGATCTGTTCATATACAAAAAACCTAGGGTTTTTATGGTATTTTAGATGTCCTTGGGTTTCACGAAAATTCTGGAACGTTACTAAACATAATAGCAGTATAAGTAATCACCCAATCAGAAGCTCGACATGTGACTTTACACTTTCTTCATGTTTCTGGCAGAACTTCTGGTGGACGCTGATTGGATAAGATGCGTCTCGGTGTTTTCAGAGCCTTTTTGACTTTTTTCAAGGAGTTTTATGGATCTCCCCAACATATTAGTATACTATTTTTTAACTAAATTTGTAAATAAAATTGCATAATCTCAGGGGTGTAAACAACAGAAATGAAATTCAGTATTTCACTTAGCTAATAATAAATAGAAATAATTACTAATTTAACAAGTACAAATTTATGTACTTGGCTATGGACTACTGATACAATCTGGCTGGCCTAATGATCTGATGTTTTAAAGAAAATCAACAACCAAAAACTTGTAACTAGCACTTTACTGAAGAATAAAGAAATATAACGAACATACTTACTTGATCACAGACATCATCCGCTTGACTTGATGACCAACAACACTGTTCACGGTTGAACCAAAATGCATCTAGACAAACACCTTCTTTTAAATCAGACATCCAAGTACAACCAATATCAATGATGCAAGCAATGAAACCTGTTAACAAACCGACACATAATACACAAAACCATCCAGAAGCAGAATCCCAACAGGCTTTAATTGAACCACAGCATGTTTTCTAGAAATTGTAAAATTGACAATGAAAACACATAGAGAGGAAGCATAGAACCAGTTTAAATAATAAGGAATTAAATTTGCTTACCCTAATAAAAGGAAGAAAGACGACATGGTCATAAAAAGAAATGTTTTCTACGCAGAAACATTAAAGGTATTTCATAAGTGGCAAACATTCATGACATTAACAATGCTTAGAAAAGACAAAATACTTACAAATAACCGAAATGTAACTTATTCACTAGAAGAGCTGGTGATATTACTCAAAATGAAATAGGTAAAATAGTTTTCCAATTATCTATATACTGGTAGCAAACCATAACGATATCACTTAAGAATACGTTTAAAGACTTTCTATATTATGAATGACTGGGTTCTAAATTGATCATGTAAAAAATAGTCGAAAAACAATAACACGAAGGAAATATTGAAAATGTAATAAGTTTTGAATAACGCAGTTTGACAAGTCAGCTATTGAATTCACAATTATATGCAACAATAAACTCTGACTTGGTGATTAAAGGGTTTCATTTTCGACCATTCAATGATTTACTCAAACACCACTTAACATATAGCACTCCAACTACCACTGGATAGTATCACTGATCTTTTTACAAATCGAATGGTTTGGAGCCGAATACCAAGTACTGGATACAAGAAATATAGGATTGAAATCAATTAGCAAGATGAATGACATAAAAAAACTGTGCAATAATGTGAATTTTGGTTAACTTATTGCATTTACAAAATAAAATTTATCAAAACTGAAAGCTGGAAAATAATTGAAATAAGATGTATTTCGAATATATACCAAAAATGATATAAGTGACAAGATAGCTGACAATGAAACGAATAAATTTGTGTATAGAGTATGATATCAGACAAATTAGATGCATAAATATTCTTTTGTTTAAATTTCAGCATCTAATAAGAGATAATAACTATAATGGTTTAGATTTAATAGAATAACATATTGTAAGATGAAATAGATATTTTGTCTACTGAACTTAACAAAGTCAAACACATGCACTCCAAATGTAACGTGAAATTTTCTCTTTATCTGTCAACATTCGAAGATTGCTAAAATTCTTCTAGAACAAGCAATTTTCAAATCTTTTAAAATAATGTATACCAAACAAACAAAATGGTAGATTATAGGATTTGAATAGAATAAAACGTTACCGATTTATTCACTGTGATAGATAATGATTTAGGATAAAATAAAGTATTCCTATTACAAACCTACATAATCAGAAATAATGATTGATAGGTTCAGTTTGTCAAAACGTGAAATAATAGTGGAAAGAAACGATAGAGATAAATTTACGAAACAGACAAACCGACCGACTCGGAGGAAAAGTATGACATAGTGTGTCTGTGAGAATTCACAAAATATCCCAAACAGATTATACATTCCTTCAATTATATTTTTTATCTTTTTGCGAACCTCATTCAGAAGGTTTACACCAAGTTATACTAATCTAAACAATCTCTAGTAATTTACAATTCGATCCTACTTATTCGTTTTTGAATTTGCTAGAATAAGGAGTCGCGAATTATGTTGTATTGGTAGTTCTACACCATGGACTGACTTTGTTTAGACAGCCAACAAAAGCATTAGTAATGTGGACACTAATAGGGAACAGGTAAGAAAATGACTGTTTGAATAAATAGACATTTTTTTAAAAAAACCATAGTTTCCTTGACCAATTTTATCTTGGAAATTTTATAAATCTGGAAATACACTGTCAACGGTTTGGAGATACTTAAAAACATAACCAAGTGTATAGAACCCAATATTGACCAAATGACTTAAAGATTTTGAGGCAATCTGCTCAAAGAACACAAGACGTCAGATAACGGAGTATTAACTCATGAGTCACATTCTATATCACTGCTCTACAGATCATACAAAAAACAATGTTTATCATTTGATAAAGAATCAAGAATTTTTGTAAACAAGTTAATGAAGATCCCGAAGCATATCGCCTAAGTAAATCGGGAATCAACGAACATATCGAGGTGGATGCAATCCATCAACCTATAGAAAAGAAAGCCAATAAAAATGTTCAGAGGCAAACAGAACAAGAAACCCAACGAAAAATGAATACAATAAAACTTATGAAGGCAGTCAATTACAGGTAAGTTCACTAGAACAAACCAATTTTACGCTTATACACGATTAAGGTCACTTTTTCTATATGAAGCAAACACTGATATTCTCCAGAATTTCAATTGAGGTTCCGCAATGAAACCATCTATCTCAGAGAAGTTGACGAAATCAAAAGCATCCACTTCAGTTTTAAATGCTCTCCGTCATTTTAAGACTAAAATAAATTATACATTGGTAAGATTGACGATGAAAACACGAAAAAATATCGGAAGTAAAGAAAGATATAAAGGAAAACTCCAACTAACTCTATTCAAATGAAGTTCTCGATGACGACATCGATCACGCGAAACATCTTTGACCCAGTCGATAGTTTCGAAATCTTCATAATGTTCAACTTTCGATATTGCTCCAGTAGAATGACTATTGATTGAATTAATATTTTGATATGATAAGAATTCACCATTTCGACCTGAATAATGAATAACAACAACAGAAAATACTTAAATAAATTGCAATAATTTATTTCATTATCATGATCATGGATAAAAAGAGTCAATCGACAGTTTTGATTAAATACAAACAAATTGAGTTCAACAAATAGAAAAACTAAGACGAGGACACTATACCAACCAAGCGATCTTGAGCTTGACATCTACATTTAAAGTGATGAGAACTAAACATAAGAACGAGAAAATTAAGAATGATGGATGACTATACACAGTATTGTACAGTCTGAAATCCTCCGTTCACACAAACATGATAGGAACTTCGTAAAACTCACACAGTGGCACACAAAATTGAAACGCTTGTCTAGAAAACCGAAGACATAATAACAGAAAAACAAACATTCATTACAACTACACTGAATAGACCTTTTAATATAAGCGGTCAGCACAAACCCAGAAAGTTGATAGAAATACAAGTCAGATTTTATTGAGATAAGAAACCTGGCTCAGAAAACCAAAGAAAACCCGGAAGCACTGGACAACTGTTTTGTCATGGTACAGGACTCTTCGTCACTGTGTATCATTCAACCCACCATCACGAAAAAGTCTCATACTACGAAGAAACAATTACCTAATGCTCCAAAATTTTCAATCTTTATACAACTTAGTTCCATTCGTCATTTTAATAACAAAAACAAAGCAGTTTATTTAATCTACTAAAAAAAATCACTGTGTCTATACTGCGAAAATTATATGGGTGATACAACAAGACAGACAATAACTAAGAATCATTGTAATGAATATGTTCACAGCTTTATTAAACCACAACTGCAACTCGACTAATCCATCATTTAAAATAAAACTTTGTTGAACCAGCTGGATAATAATTCATAATCACAAATCATCATTATCACACTTAACAATACAAACAATAATGATAAATAAAGAATGAATATATGTCTAGAGAGACTCGACTAACATTATTTTTAATGAACAGAATCCAGTAGTAGTTATCATTTATTTCAACACATAAACATTGGTACAAGGGGGAACCAAATATATATGCGCCACACAACAACAATGAAGCCGGTTTGTGTGACGGCTGAAATACTGTTCGGGCACTCAAACCGGTGCAGATGGTTTTCTTAGGGAGCCACACACAGAGCTTTTGACCTAAAGGTCTAATCCACATGGTATTGGAGCAACATTAGAAGATACAGTCCCATGATGGCCGGTCACGAACAATAGGTTCATACCCCATTTTTCCCTCAGGAGCCCATGTGCACTATTGGTTTTGAATCAGGGTTATCCAACTCCCCTAGGTAGACCGTCCGTATCCACCAACCCGGTTAACGAGTCGGGCATTCGCTTCTCGTCCTCTCGATTTCGTAAACAACAGTAAAAAGGTAGTGAGTAGGATATCCTTGGTAGTGGCTGTATACGCGTGGCCGTGTGAGGGCATTTCAAGAGGAACAGATGACTCTTCCTAACCTCGACTCTACCAGGACATTTAGGGGCGAACAGTATCCAAATCATTATGATATGGAAAACACGATGAACACTTACAATCTCCGGTGAATTTATGGAGGAATGTTTAGGAATAAGGCTTATTTCGATTTTTTGAGGCTGTGACACAATGCAAGTGTAACATAAAATAAAAATATATCTGAAGGAGTCAAGGACGTACGCTATTGAGTTATACATAACAATGAAATAAATGTCCTGTGATTCCTGGGTCTCAATAACTGTTTAGCAGATATAAGCTGGTTATTTTTAACTTATACAAAATAACACTACAAAACCACTTAATATTTATTAAATGTAATTCATAGCGTGCTTTACACTTTTTCTCAGACCAGAGACTAGATGGCATCAAATAAATAGGAAAGAATTGTATAGCGTAGCTGACTCCCATTATGAACAGTACAAATCAGTGAAGAGTAATGACTCCATGGTATTTTAAACTACACATATTTTTGGTCAAAATATCAGTGTCACCTCTAAACTATTTTGCATACTGTTATGTAGTATTAAATGCAGTGATGGCTCACTGATTAAGATTTTCCAAATTCGAACAACCCTCAACCAAATTTGGATTCAACAACTGTGTAATGTCATTGACCTTCACACTTGCAGTAACTCTTGAAGTCAAGTAAACAAATCCATACTTGTTAAATGAATTAAAAATGTCAACTTCATTTATACTAAATGAAAGCATTTGAGAAATTGTGTGATTTAAGTTTAATAATTATCGTTCAAAGCTTAACTGACGATATGTAAATTTGTGTTTTCATTAAAGTAAACACAACAATAATTTTATAAAAACAATCATAATCCATGAAAGAACTAATGATTATTATTACATTAATCACCTTTTGTTATATTTGGAAATCGAGAATGGAAAGGCAACCCACAATTGTCACCAACATCAAACTTAACATTTGAATTTGCCGTGAACATTTCATCATTCAATATACCATCTTTTTCATCAATTAATTTCGACTTATTACCATGATCGTTTTCAGTTAATGTCGAGGAAGTTAGTCCAGTAACATTACTATTACTATGTTGATTAGTACTGTTAGTAATTTGTTGACAATGTTGTGATGAATTATTCAATGTAGTAGTAGGGTCTGCAAATGGATTCAGCGCGTCTGATGATGAAAACATGTTTAGTGGATAGAACGAGCGTGTACTTCCTAAAAATCAAAAAAGGAAAAAAATACACGCGTACACGCATTTACATGTAGAAAACTTCAGGCATTCAATCAATTAGGGAACAAATATGGATTACTTTTTTTATAAAAGTCGGATAAGTACTATAATTTGGGTCTCGGATATGCACTTTATCTTAGCCATGACTCATCAATCGGATGTACTGGCATACCAGTTTTGAACTTCACATCGAGACTCAGACCCTGTACTTTTCAAAAGTTGACACATTTTTCACTGAGCATTTTTTGTCATTTACTTGTTAGATGGGTAAGGTTTACTTTTTTCGAAATGTATGTTGTGGATACCACTTTATCCACAAATTAACTTGATAGAAAATTACAATATTCAGGTAATGGATAGGACACACATTAGGCAAATCATCAAACTGAATCACGAGGCAAGGACTAACTTGGAATTCTGAACCGAAATTGAAAACAAAAAGACCAAAGAACACACTATGCGGGGAATTCGAAGCAGATATGAAAAGGATGGATAACAACTAGAAAGGATTGCTCAGGACAGAGTTGCACGGAGAATGCTAATGAGCAGTCTATGCTCCTTTACGAAGGGGTAACAGTTGTGAGTACGTTTCCCACACATAGCCGTGTCTTATACAAACAGGAAGTATTATAAAACTTAGATTTAAAAATAGCATAATTATAACTCGAAAGATATTCGGTGTGAAGGTAAGATCTGAAAAATAAATGGGCCATAACACAAGATTAAAACTATCATTTCCATAAGGCTAGCATATTGTCAACTTCGAACAGCTGTCCATTGAGCTAAGCTTACAATGAAAAAAGTCGACAGTATCAACAGCTTGAACACCTATTCCAGTACTTGTAACCAGTTGATTTTGATTGGAGACCACCCTCAAGCACCAATAACAAATACCAACCGATAATGAAGTAACCATCTGTTAGTCCGCGATTTTAATTGTTTGTTTATTGATTTAGTTTAGGCATTTAGATTCATTCAATTCTTTGAAAATTATTACCATCAACATCATCATCACCACACATAGACAATAAGTAGCGAAGTACTTTAACGATAAACAAATAGATTTCATTCATGAAATTTAGTCAGTAGTGCAATCTATTGGAATATGAAATATACTTTTTCTCAGTATGCACCACCGTGAATAAGATTTATTTTGTCAAATGAATACCTAGTTGTTAACAGTACAGAAAAACAAAATCTAAGAGTAGTAGTTAATAAAGTACAACAAATGTGTTGAGAACAATTACATTATTAAGATACAAGGCTAGGATATAACCATACTGTATTTTCTTACTTTTACTCATGATGATTTAAACACAAACTAAAGGTGGGTTTGTTCATATCCGTTAACAAACTGAATATATATTCATTTTGAATTATAACGCTATATTAATTAAAGTGATTGGTTGAGAACTTACGTTGAACAGCTGATTAGAATAAAATTCAGATAGAATTGACTGAACATTCACAGTGAATTAATCTAATCAACTGAAATCAACCGTCATCAATTAATCCTGAATTGGAATCGATTGAAATGCAACTTTATATACGTAAACATAATTAACGTTATTAAATATTTCATAGTATATGTATTGGTCAATGTTACGATTTCTATGGTTAGATTAAGAAAGTAGCGCAATTTTGTGCGATAAATCTTGGAATTTCCCAAATAAACCAAGAGACTAATTAAAATACGTTTATTTTTTGGTAAGAAACAGGTTATTATTATCAAATCTAATTTCATAAGCTTCACGTTATGCATTACAACAAGAAGTGTTGTGTTACTCATTGTGCTTGTTAGTGAATTCAACTTCAGCAAGCAACTCTTTCAATATTCCATAAACGTTAAGTGAGTATTCCATTTTTAAAAAAGTTGTGAGAAGAAATATTTCTTTTAAATAAGTACTCCATCATAACTCAATACTAATATATATATTCTACTAGCTGGTCCAGGTTAGAAGAATATCATTGGACGTTGAACTATTGATTCTAATGCTCAGCTCAAGCGTATACCGTAATACCTGAAGGCCCTGAGTTTGATCTCTAAAGGAGTCAATGGTTCGCACTGTTTAGAAGTTATATACTGGAAAAAAATGGTTGTCCAATAATTTGTAGTCTTCAAGGGTACTCTAACTAAGACCAATCTGTGAATAATTAAACCTATAAACCATTAGAATTTCCAAAATATTTAAGTAATATAATCAAAATCACTTGGATCAAAAGAACAACAACAAATTAATGGAATGTAATAAAGGACAGTTAGTGCTAAAAATTGCATTTTATGTTACAGATTTTATTCTAATCAAAAAAGGAGAATAAGAGAAAATGAGTTTGTCAAACGATTATATGCCATTTACTCAATATAATAACTTTATGAAACCAAATTTAAGGATTCAAAATGGAATACGGTCTAACATTTATTGTAAGACTTATGACTGTATCATATGAGCAAATAAAAATGTCCGAACATTCAACAGATAATTTATATATATATATATATATATATATATATATATATTCTTTTTGTCATAAGCTTTTATTTGATTTATTGACTACTAATGTACGATTTACTATTCTTAGGGTTACTCCCAACTTATTGGCTACAGTCTCGCACACTCACAGACACTTTTGGCTTGATCTTGCATAATTGTTTTTTTTATTTTATGGTATGATTCGATTTGATTTGATTGTATATAAACCAAATATGTCTGAAGTATATGATTCATACAATGGGAGCTGAGATTGCGTTCCAGACTCGAACAGACTGGGCTAGGCAAAAAGAACTAATAAGGACTCTGAGTTGACTATAAGCTAGTCGCACCGGTTAACGCACCATTGGTTTGGCACAGTTCCAAGGTCGTATAAGTCGGTGTTCTAACTGGCGATCTTATCACGTGATATATTAGCAAGTCTGTATGACATAACAAGGATGAATCACTGTCTCATCTTTTTCAAAAAGTCACACTAACTACCAAATTTCCATTACCTGGTTCTTTGATAAATTTAAAAAGTTGTCTACTGGTGCCTATCACCGCCGACTTTCCCAATTTTTTGGCTTTGAATACCAACCATTGCTCGCAACGATTAGGTGAACTTTTTATAAGTTCGAGTTTAAGATTTTTTTGATGCACATTGACAACTACTACAACTGCATATAGATCAAGAATTAATGTGTTAGGTTTTAAGAAATTCCAAACAAGCAAAATCGGCAGCCGACATTGTTCATGGAAGTCTTCCAATGTTGTCTGGTTTTGAGGACTTAACCTCAACAATCTATCACTCATAAATTTATAAATAACTACAAACTATATAAGGCTTTTTGAAAGGATTTAACAATGACTAATTTCAGCTATCGAACAATATTTAACCAGGAACAACAACCAATAATGACGATAAGAATGATAATGAGGACTCTTTTAAGCAGACATTTTCAGTACAAGCAATTGAAACGAAAAACATGACAAGAAACATTAACTAAATATGACTGAGAAGAAACCAGTGAACTGAGTTAGTAACAAAGAGAAAATCCAGTACATTGCAACTTACAGATAGAAACGGTGAATAAGCTCAAATTTGCCTACAAGATTTGTTTCAAACTATAAATTGTTGAAGGGACTCAATCAGAAACTAATCAATCCTGATAGAAGTCAGTGTTATATGCTAAAATAGGCAAACTAGGGTTATTTTAGCATAAAAAGAGCAAAGCGGAAAAGTGATAGTGAGTAAAAGAAAAATAAGACTAAAATAATAAACTATGTTAGAAGATGGCTGGCAATTGAAATTTGATGTTACATTAATTAGTTCTCTCCAGGTAAGTAAACGTGATTAAAACGTACTTGTACATAAAAATCACTTATTTAGAGAACATCCAGAGATTTTTTGCAAAACGGGAACTCAAACTGGCAGATTTTATATAATATCCATACAGCATTAAAAAGATATAAGCGAAAGGTTTAGATTAAGTTAGGACACAGCAACAAAGAGTATCAAGTTGAGCGAGATAACAGTAATAACAACGATAGAACACTAGAGAAATAGGCTGCTTACCATAACGGTCGTCTTGAGATTTATGAATCGGATGATAACGCATTGTTTAAACTAATAACTATTATATAATATGTAACATAAAATAAGGTAGAATATCCAAGTGTTGGTTTTTAACACATGTAAAATAAGAAGTGTAAAATATGCCACCTTGATTAGTGTTGACAACAGAAACATATTGTTGGGTCGGCTTTCGGAGAACTTCAACGGAGCCTCCAGAGGCCCAAAAAAGAGCCGGAGGGCCTAGCCAATCAGAGTATGATGGAACGTTCGAGAATTCCAGCGTGGCGTGCTACCATTGGTCGGTAGCACAATATGACGTTAACGGATTGGCTGAAATAAGATGTTGATTTAACAGACGCCAACATCTATAAATATCCTTGATTTTCTGTACTAAAATGAACCTTGGGATAAAGTGTATTCTCTCATACTTGTGTCTTCTTTCTGGAGTTCAAGTCGCTGTGTAGTTCTAGTCTGCGGGTTACGGGAATAGCTTAGGATTCGTATATAGCGTTCAACCTACACGACTTATCACATATATAAATATTAACTGATTGGTATAATTCAGTTAACAATCACATATTCATGTACTTGGCTTTAAATCAAGTAAATTATGTATGAGGACTAGTGATACTGCCCGTCTTTTTAAACCAAAATAAGCGGAATTGAACTCGAACTTGTGGCCTAGAAGTTAAAAGTTGAACGCACTAACCCTACGCAAATATTTGCCTTTTTGTTTATTTTCTTTCTGAAACTTAGACAAGTGAAAGGAAGTTTCATTGTCAAAATTAACAGATAACAGGGTTTGAGTATAGTTGGGTAGTGGATAACGGTGGAATCCATAGAGTGCAATTTATGCTAGATGAGTGACTTGTCAGCTGGATGTGCTTATAATATCAACAACGGAAAGACGTACATATTTATGAATAAGATAAAAAGATTAGTGCAAATTCACAAGATAAAGTGTTACATTAACAATGTCTAATGTAACTTTAAAAAAGAATCCATGCATTTTGATCACATCAAGAGTTTAAAACAAGGTCAGTCGTGATAATAAAGAAATATTATAAAACCAATAATATATGGTCCGTGACCATCTCTTAACAGAGATACACAAAGTGATGGATTGTGAATAACAATAAACAATAGCAGGTAACTTGTGGATTTTAGTTCCAACACAAATTACCCACCAAATTTAGAAGTTTAAACAATAATAAGTGACAATCAGATTTTAAAATCACGGAAATTGTCAGATTTAAATACTTACTTTTTTAGGACGATTCACGTAAATGATATAAGATACGTTTAATTAAAGACTAAATAAAATTATTGTCGTATAAACACCTAAAATCAGTTTCCCTGTCCCAACTTCTAAACAACAATGGGTAAAACTTATAGATTATGAAAGGAAAACATAAGTTACTCATTTAACTGAACTGATGAAAAAAAAAATAGCGATCAACGAAAGTCTATTTCAACGTTCAATTAAATACTGTTCAATATAGTAATGAAAAACAGTGCATGAGAACAATAATATATTATTTTTCAAACAAAAAATAAACGCACCTTAGTTTTAAATCCTCAATTTCAAAGGTGACCGAATGATGCTAATCGTTACAGCACCATTAAATGATAGGAAAGATACTATTCGCCTTTATCTAAAAATGTTCATTGAGAAAAAAAATGCAACCCATGTTGTAAGTTTTCAAAGAAAATAAATTAATCAAAAAGATAATATCGATTTTATATCAAAAGTCGAGATCACAGAACATTATTCAATCAGTGGTCATATTTATTAAAATGATTTAAAGGTATTTTTTATTAAAAAAAAACAGAAGACAGTAGGACATCAAGCTAAACGTCACGTTTAAGGGCTAACAAAATTACCATGTTTACTTAATTGAAATGAATTGAAAGTATGAAAATTGAAGTACGCTGTGAGATAACCTTTTTCAGATAATATTTTACAAACAAATCCAGTTAATTTGTAATTATCAAAAATGCATAGTAGTTTATGTAGATTTACTTCTTGATCAAAAAAATACCTTCAGTCCTTCAAAAATAAAGGTTAACGAATGATATAAATGGGGATTGAATTATACTATGTAAAACATAAGCAACAAGTTATGAATCTATATAATTTAAGAAACACTATTTGGAAGTTCAGCATAATAAGATATTTTACAAAAAATCCAGGAACAATTCTACATCTAACAAAGAGTCTGAACTCAGGAACACTCATGACAGCTCATTGTGCAAAGCTGGCATGTCCCACAAAAGTTAAAAAGATTTTAGCATGAAGCACAAAATATCACCCAGCAGTAGGTACATAATGCAATTTTTGAAGATCCTATAGAAAAAGGAAAGTTTTACATTTCTATTAATCATGATCAACTGTAAGTAATGTCGCCTATACCATAAATAAAAGTGGCACCTATATATGGGTGACAAAAGGCATGAAATACATCAGTTATTAAACATCTCCAACCCTAATGAGTAATGTGAAGTACTTTCCTTTTAAAAGTTTTCCACTAGAGATTTATGTAAGCATTTCATATTGTTAAGTGATAGTATGGCGGCGGCTTAGTGGTCATAGTGTTTGAATTTTAGTCACTAATTCGCAAGTCCGAACGCCTCTCCACCTAATTTAGTTTCGGTGACCAGGTATTATCCCTAGCCCTCATACTTAAAGTGTGACTCGAAGCCAAGTACACTTATCTATACCTGGTAAATGAGTTAAAAACAATCGCTTGCTAGCGCAAATTTGGCATCAAGTTCTCAAGTAAACAAACCATAGGACTTAATATTTCTTAACATTTATTCAAAAAATATAATCAGTTTATAAAATTTGGCTAACTGACTAAAACAACACAGAACGGTGGTAAGTAGTACTGCATTGAAACAAGTGGAGTAACAAAATAAATAAGAAAAACCGAAGTATATAATTGAAAAAGACAGAAGTCATGACACAAGTTTCAGAAGTTTGGGAAGAATAGTAGACTTAACAAGTTTTAAAAACTAATAATTCTCATTAACATGCCATCAATGACTCCAACTTTGTATATGACACTATTTAGAACATAAGTTCAGACTAACAAGCAAAAACAACTAACGAGCATTATATTTTGATACAAAACAGTGTTATTACCAACATACACACTGTTACAATCAACGCATTATGTAGTAAATAGAGTGGGTCGGATTAAAAAGGTCGAAGAGGTAGCATAATAAATCGTAAGCTTATTATTATTATTATTATTATTATTATTATTATTAAGGCAGTTCCAACAGGTCTGAACATGTCCACCTCATTAAATAATTAACTCATTACTTTTTTCATCGCTTATTGGCTCATCACTCCGAATGATAAAGCTAAATTGATAAATGGATGATACAATCTAACAAATTCCATTGTTTGGTTATGAGATGCTGGAGAAGATTTGTAGCTCAGGTGGATGATTTTGGTGGTGTTTTGTTCTCTGAGCTGGATGGTTTGGTCGTGGAGCTTTCATCGTTCTTCTGAACGACATCATCAGCACATCATCAGCAAAACAAAGAAGTAAACAATGATAAATTTAAGGTCAACAAGAACTAATCAACATCGAGGTGCACAGAACAAGCTGTGAAACACATATGGAGAAATTCGAACACTTCACTTCTATCTGAAGTTTGTGCTGATGATGTCGTTCAGAAGAACGATGAAAGCTCCACGACCAAACCATCCAGCTCAGAGAACAAAACACCACCAAAATTGTTTGGTTAATTATCGCAATGATCTTTTTTTTAAAAATCATGCTGTAAGTCATTTCTTTTTAAAAAAAGTGATAAATAACCTCAACCAATAGTAACATTACATAACATTAAGAAACATACAAGATTCAGTCAAACAGAAATAGTGAAAAGTAACAAATATATGTTGAAATAGTTTTTTTAGTTTCTTCTTCATTAACAACGCGTATAATAAAAGGCATTTATCATAAATTACAAATTGTAAAAATTATTATTCACAGTGTAAAAAAAGAATACGTCATGTTATGTATAATATATACATATACTATAAAGATGACAAAATTACTTATTATTAAACCTATCATTTACAACTAATTGCAATAGATTTGCTGACTTCTATTTTTTTGTTTTACGTACAGATGGAAACAATAAAGAGTAAAACAAACAAATAAAAAATCAATTATACGATGGTGGGTTTTTTTTTCCACATAATCTACTGTAGTACTGTGGTTGTTGTACATATATCATAGTGTTATCTATCGATGAAGGACATGGAAATAAAATCAACACAGTGGTAAATATGAATTTAAAAAAGAAAAGAAAAAAAACAAAAAGGGAAAATAATTTTTTTTGAAAGATAGAAATAAAGGTAACATAATTCATTTTAGTAAATCATTCTGCTGTAACGATATTGCAGTGGCATCGGTTCGACCTATAAATGAAAAAAGCAAAAGATGTATTAAGAGAAAAATAACCATATGAAACAATAAAGATGGATTACAAGAACTATGAGAATTCTATAGGTTGTGTTCGTCAGAAATCGACCTCAGTTAAAGTATCATTGAAAACTAGGGAGCATTGAAATAGCCATTTCGTCCTAGCAAGGGACTTTTTAGCAGTGAGCATCCGGAACTCCCCTTTTACCTCATCCTTCGTAAACACACATACAACCAAAACTAGGAACTTTAAGTTTTGGAACATGCACGAGATTCAATGATAAAAAGTTTTAACTTTAATTAATGGTTTGGTGCAATTATTAAGATAGCTTTAATGAACATTAACACTTACATCATTCCAATAAACAACACGAACAAATTTCAATACATGATCGCGACCAAGAAAAGTACCATCTTCATTATTTTGTATAAAAATATCAATCTACATATATTTAATAAAAATAGAACAAGGAAAGAAAGAAACAGTGAAGACTGTAACAAAAACGATGTTAAACTAGAGGAATAAACATGCGAATAAAATGATTAAATTTAGTGTATACCGAGAATGGGAAAGACCATATTACGATTTTATTTATTTGAACACATATATATTGGTACAGGAGTGCGCCAAATATATATGCGCCACACAAAACAATGAGAATTTAAGAAGAAAAAGAAAAAAAGTGGGGAATTAAAAAAACAATAACGAGGAGATTGGTGTAAGGTAGTGTAATAATAATGGTAATAGTAGGGGAACAGAAGAGTACAATCAGAAGAAATCTTTCAGTTAAGGAAGATACAACAACTGCTTATGAAGAAAGTAAAAGAGGGTTACAGTAGGATCGCCACTGGCTTCTATTCTGAGCCATATCTAATAACGTATCTAGCCACTGTGTTGTACCATCTCTCGGACCCCAACCAGGGAGTCGTGAAGGACCGATACAAGCCAGCCCTTTGCAGCTTTCTTTCATACCACGACACCATGTCATATACTGACCACCTCTCCGCTTTCTCCAACCAGTTCCAGAGTCAGCAAATAATGCACAAATAATGCATATTACGATACGTGGAATGTTTAGGTTATATGCTTATTATACTGTCTACCAATTAACTGTGACCTTTAAAAAAAATAATAACGGTACTAATGAATTAGTGCAAACCGGTGGAATGTTCCCTTATAGTTTAAACATCTAATGTTTGGACACTAGAAATACTATGATTAATCCTTTAACAATTTGTATTGCAGATTATAGCATGGAATTTCAGTAGACGAACACATTTGACAAAAAGCAATGAGACGAAACCAAAACTCTTTAGGTTTTTATGTAGTCAGTCAGTCAGTAACAACGTAGAACTTCGTACGTACGTACATCAGTTCGAGTTGCCACACCACATTAGCACAGAGATGCACTTGTCGATTCAAATCCCGTAGTGATAGAGGTAATAAGAGTATAAGTAGTAATCGGGAAGATTAGGGTTTGGAGATGTTATTTAAAGAGTATAATACAGTGAAAGAAATTTGGAAAGAGGAAAAAAGGGACATGAAGAATTCAGAAGATTAGAGTTTGGGAGAACACAGAGAGTGGATGCACCTGCGCCATTGCAAACGATTTTGAGCCATGTCATTCAGGGTCTCTAACCATCGGTTGCTGTCATCTCGCGGTCCCCAACCAGGTAGTCTACACCTACCAACATGACTCAGTCCACTTGTCAGTGACTTCATGGATTTGTGCCATGTTTTGGTTTGGCCGCCCAAACACCACATGGAATCATGACAGTGTTTCTCAATGATAGAGAAATATAAATTGAAGAGACAATTGCCATTTTATCCTCAAACTAATTATGACCAACCGAGATTGCATTCATGTATTGTGTTCGTTTCTTGGTTTCCATAAATTATCCATTTAAACGCTATCTACATTTTATTTCTGTCAATTTGACTTAAGGTATTTTTACGTATTGTCCGTGAACCATCATTTTGTTGTTGCATAGTTCCTGGGTAATTACTATTTTATATTAACAACAATTTCTGTACGAACTCCTATTTCAATTCCGGGACCTTCTTTTTGACTGTTTTTAAGCATACACCTCTTCAAAGTGTACTGTAAAACTTTTCATTTGGTTATCACAATTTATTAAAATTCACTGCGTAGTAGGTCAGTTTAGCTTATCAAGAAAACATGTATGCTCAGAAATTATGGAGATTTGAAGCTCAAATGGATGGTTTTGTTGTTGTTGTACTCTCTGAGTTGAACGAAGACAGCTTCGCAATTAAATCGTTTGAGTGATTTTGATTTTCCAGGCGTGTTCTATTAAACATCATGACTATATTGAATATTTTCATATATTTAACAATAAATCCCCTTAAAGAGTAGTTGTTTTTACCTAGACTACTACACCAACAGTTTGCATCACAAATCTGACGAAACACCCAGTGCTTCCAGGTTTTCAATGGTGATCCAACATTGATCCATTCAGGATCTCAATCAAAACTCAACAATCTCCACAACCCTATACCCATAATTATCATGTGCTCACTAGTGACTAGCTTCAATATGGATTTCCTGAAGTTCTATTGAAAAGTAGTGACAACTTGAATTCCACTGTCTGTTCAGAAGGAAGTTAATCACTGAAGACAATGAAACACAGTCATACAATATCGTGGATTGGTTGAAGTTAGACATTAACACCGTTGGATGCCGACTCAGTAATCTAGGGGTTAACAGTTCGTACGCCAGACCGGAGGTCCTAGGTAGGAATCCAACGTGCGGGATCGTAGATGCGCACTGCTGAGGAGACCCATACTATGACGAAACGGCAATCCAGTGCTTTCAGGTTTCTAATGGTGGTCTAACATTGATCCATTCATGATCTCAACCAAAGCTGACACAATAACAATCACTTATATCCTACCAAATGACCCAACAAGAATATTCTTAATTGAGATCATGGACCAATTAATGTTAGACCACAATTGAAAACCTAGAAGCGCTGGACGGCCGCCTTGTCCTAGTATGGGACTCCTCCGACGTGCGCATCCACGATCCCAAACGTGGGAATCCAACCTAGGACCTTCGGTCTCGCATGCGAACGCCTAATCCCTAGATAACTCAGCAATCTCCATAACCCTATAGTGATGATAACATATTTGCCAAGAAATAAAAATCCATTTAAGCTTAGCTTCCGAAATCGACATTGTATGGAACAATAGTCTAGATAAAGTTTTGATTTTATTAGTTTTTCGCATATAGGTATTCACGAAATAAAACACTTTCGAACTGCGTTGATATTAAGCTATCATGACACAGCTCATCATTATGAACCGCCGTTTTTTAAAAATTGCACATTGATCCCGAACGTAGGTATAATCTTGATGTGATGGTCGGGCTTCTTTATCACGACGACTCAACTGAGAGTTACTGGCTAACACTTGTTTCTTCAAATATTAACATGGCAGGAACGCCAGTTGGAGAGAAGCAACTTAAGGTTGAAGGGCGAGGTTGTGCTGCTGACACTACTGGGGTATGGTGGCAGTAAGTTGTTTTCCTCAAACACCATCTCAAGCGATCCTGTCTCACAATGTAAGGAGGAATATAAAAGTTGGCCATACAAAAGCACACTTCACCTTACCCCCAAGGATTTCCGTCGACGGCAGTTAGGCCTCAAAAGTACAAAACTAACTAATCTACAACTCCCTACACAAAGGCCTTGTAACCGGCCACAAATAATTGTCTCTTGGGCAGTGCAATCATACTACCAGGACCTCAAGATCACTCATAACCCAGTTTCCTTTTCATGAACCTCAAAAAAATATTCTTCGAAGACATGAGAAACCCGGAATCGACAACCCACCACATACCTCTAACTGACTGATACATCTATTTATCGAATTTGAAATTTCTTCAATAGAATAAAAACTAATCATTTTTTCAGATTGTGTACAATGAAATGCAAATAAATGAAAATATACAGCCTGATAACTAAAAGAATACGTCTTCGTTAGAATGTTCAATTCAAATACTGAAACATCAAAATTTTAATGAGGGAGAAAAAAGTCACTTGACCTACTTCATGAAACTTAGATATATCATGAAGAACTTGTTGAGCAACATATTTTCGTAAGTGTGTCACTGTAGCCCTCGATGAAAGTCGTAGATATTTCTCAGTTAATGGTTCCAGATTATCAGATCCCGGTTCAAGTTGTATATTGACTTGTTCATCTTTACGATGATAATCCGAATCAAAATTGGAAGTTAATCCGTCAGAATCAGATGGAACTGCACCTGTGATATTCTCTTTACTGACTAATACATGAGTTTCTTTGCCTAAGTCTGTTGAATTTTCATCGAAATAATAACAAATTCGGAAACATCAAATATCGTTGGTACAAAAATTGATCTACTCAAAAATATCCAACGAGCAATGACTGGAATAGTGTAATTAACAAGCTTGATATAACCTACAGAATTCTCAAAATTAGTTTAGGACTCATACACTATTTATCAGCAGTTATCAGACTGTAAACATTTAGATCAATTTAAGTTACTCTATAATGTTAATGTTATCCTTAGTAACCTAAGTGCCTAGACTTGAATTGTTATACAACTTCAAACCAACCATATCTATAATTATTCAATCCATTTACATACTAAACTTTTATATGTCATGTGTGGTTTACATCCTTGCAATTTACAAGAGTCAAACATAAGTGTACGAGTACAGATATTCTATGAGCTACCCTATGCATAATCTATCAAGTCCTTTACTTGAATTATGATGAAATCAGTGGATTAGTTAGATATTACAATTACAAATTGATTCCTAAAGTAGAAACACCAAAAAGCTTCTAGCCGAAACTAGTGCTACAAAAACGAATATAAAATCTATTTCCATGAAAGTACAACTGTCATACTGCACGAAAATATGTAAACACAACTAGTATATTAATGCATTATTCGGCTTTTTTGATCACATATACTGATTTGAGCTATGTAAACGTAGTGGGTCAAACCAGTCTGGTACACTGACTTATATCGATTCTGTCAGCTAAAACTATTAAACCCTCTGGTTCTAGAGTGTGGTACGTCATACTGAAAGCAGTAAAACTAGAAATAGTGATTAACATAGGATGGGAAATTAATTTTTCATACGATATAGATCCAATTTATACTGTTAAGTATTCTGAGTGTGGCTTGTGGTGTTAGTTCCCAGACTAATATTTTCACTATAAGAAACTGTTCCTTAAATTACACACCCAATCGAATCCACCTTAATACCAGTGCCAATAATGAAGTAACTAAGAATACGAAGAACAATGGAAAGACAAATGAAAGCTACACGTAAGTAACATTGTATGAACGTCCGCTAAGACCTGATAACATTTGCACCCAAACAATTAACGATTCTGAGGAAACACTACATTGAGTAAGAATGGACTACATGACTAGGAAGGTGGAAATGGTTATCATAGACTATATAGTAAATCATCAACTAAAATTTCCCGTTTTCCTCAGTCGAATAAATCAGCCAGTGACTTAACGGGTATATCATGACACATTTAATTTATTCATAAATTACTGTACTAATATTACCTTCTGAGGGAGGTGGAGTTTTTCCAAGAGATCTATAGAAGACCTCACGACGTTGTCTCTCTTCTATAAAAAGTTTTGTTAAATAAGGCGAACAGCACACTTACTTTGTTTTAAATCTGGTACAATTTTATAAACAATATCTTGAAGAGTACGATCAAAACTATTATCATATGAAAATAGGAAACATAAAACCATTAAGTGAAACAAACCTCATATAATTTAATGGGTGACTTTGATGGATGAGAATCCCGCAAACAGGACATTCGCGTTTTTCTTCTGAATACTTAACTATACAAGATTTACAGACTAAAAAATTTAATGTATATTACAAGGCAAGAAATATCCCACTTACATGGGTGAAGACATTCAGTTATCGAAACAGCATCAATTAAATAACCTTTACATAATTTACATGTTATAAATTCATTTAGATCGGATAACTGAATAGCAGGTAGTTCATCCATCTACTCATACATGTATGTATACTATGTAGTAAACAGTGATAAGACATAGGCTCATTTCGGCTTAGACACTGAAAATAACCACAAAGGAAATAGATGAATATCAAGTTATGAAACGTAAACATAGGTGCTTGACAATGGAATAAATCGCAAGATAAAACTGATTACCATTCATCCAATGAAAATGAACACATAATTAAATCTGATTCAGAATTACTAGCAAGTTAAACGAAAGTAAATTTTCTATCTTTTTAAATGGAAAACCTTGATGACTAGCAACCAAAATACTAAAAAATGAATGTTTACATGCACGCATTTGAAGTTCTTACCTGATATGATATAGAGCACAAGCCAGAAAAACGTTTCGGAAATAGGTGAGACTTGATAACCATATTCATATTTAATTCACCGAACTATTCACATATTTACCCATTATAGTTTAAGAATATGACTTGACTTGAGAAACCTCTAAAAGCTACACTGAATCAGTGACTGATATGTGGCCTAACAATTTATTACAGTACTAAGTCATAAGTAATATAGGACCTCGTATGTCACACCTCATCTTACACTGCGAATTTCAGTCAGCGGCGGTGAAACTATTTGAAGCACGGAGACAATACATAAAAATTCATAGGAAGGTTGTATGTAACAGGCTTTAAGTTGTTGCTCGAATTCTGTGGTCACGTGCCCAAGTTGCTAAGACCACCACTAATCTTCAAGGAGAAAACATCCTCCCATAGTGCGGGCAACTGGGAAGCGACAGTCGCTTTCAAACCTGACAGTACTAGAGATCTTATTATTCCCAGTCGAATCACTTTTTAACTTAATATTCTTTCTTAACGTCCATCGATCCTTCTTGTATGAATTTAACTCCATGTACTACTAGTGACAAGTATTTTAGCCCATGAAATATTAATCTTAATTTCTTAAAACTACACTCTAGATTACATGTCGGAGCTCTGAATGTTAGGATTTTATGATAAATAAACTAACAGGCTACCTTAACTAGAATCCCAGAATCCTATCCCATCAATGTATGGTATCTCGGAAACAAGTACACAGAATTCGAGTGTGGCCACTCACTTGACCTCATCTACTTGATGCAGAGAGCCAGAGCGATTTAATCTCCGCGTACCATGGATCACACCTGTTTTGGCCTAGCTGATTTATGCATGACGCTCGAGTAGACAGTTTGGACCAAAGTGAAAGACAAGTGGGTTTTCCAGTGTCCCAGCTCGACGAAAAGACAACGGTGACCATCTGTTGCAACCATCTTCAGACAACTGTTTATCCTTAGCAAGGACCAACTTTAAGCGTAAAGGGAGATATCATATGAGAAGGCGTCCGAATTTCAGCCACAAAGTCCCAGGACCGAACCCTGCTTCACATTTATTTATTTATCTGAACACATAAATATTGGTACAAAGGGGGAACCGAGTACATATGAGCCACGCAAATCATTCGATTTGTGTGGTGAGGCTGGGATACTGCCCGGGTGCCCAAATCGAAGCAGGTGGTTTTCTTGAGGGGCCACACTCGGAGCCTTCGACCTAAAGGTCTGATCCACAAGACTGTGAAGCAACGTAAGGAGATGCAGTCCCATGGTAGCCGGTGACCAACGATTGGTTCATACGCCATTTTTCCCTCGGGATAATGGAGCACATGTGCACCATTGGTTTGTAATCAGGGTTTTCCAACTCCCCTAGGAGGACCCTCTGTGTCCACCAACCCGGTTAAAGCGCCGGAGTTTCGCTTTGCGTCCTCTCAATTTCGTGAAAAACAGCCCCGTTGCGAGAAGGCAGTCAGTAGAACTTCCCTGGCAGTGGTTGTATGCACGTGTCTATGTGAGAGCATTTCGAGAGGGAGAGCTGACTCTCCCCACTCTCGGTCATACCAGAGCATTTGGGGGCCCTAGTGTACAGAACGGAATAAAAGCCACAGGAGCATGTTTTTCTATTGGACGGCATCTCAAAGCATACCACCGCAATATTTTATCTTGCTGCATTTCCTGTCTCACTATTTAATAAAATTCCACTAAATACTAACCATTAGTCTCCCCTCATCTTAAGTATATCACTACCCTAAAAATGAAAATGAAAAGAGCAACCAAAACCTATTTTACAACAGAATAATACCCCGAGCAGCTAATCTAAATTCATCGAACCCGCAATTTGTGTACTATAGGGAAATATGAAATATATGGCAACGCTCTCATACAACTTACAACCTTATTCATCACAGCGAATCAATGACGTACTTTAAAATAAACCACATATGGGATGACAATAAAGACAGTGCACACGTGAACCTTCCCATCATAAATCGAAATTCTGAAACATTCCACTTCTCAGGAATAAAGTTATGGGAGCTTTTGTTACTTCTTTAAAAAAGTGACTTGAAATCCGCTTCAGAATTAATACAACTGAGGGAGATTATGTCGTCTGACATAAGTCAGTTTTTTTTATTATGAACTGAAGTGATGCTCTTTCTGGTATCTTGAGGACTAACCCAAGTATTAACCTCTCTGTAGATAACCACCATCTCCCACAACCTAAACTCAGATCCGCGAGAACCAACAGATCTCCGATTCTGCTCAGTAAATTTTAAAGGATTTTCGTAATGAACTATTTTGAAGGCTGAGTTCCAGTTTAATAATGCTAACTGATCATAAACATCGGATTTATGGACATCACTATTTCGAGCTTCTATCAAGAAGTCTGCAATTGCTGCGAGAAAAATTTGAGGTTTTCACCAAAATGTCATTCCGCACTATAGAATAGTTAGTGTTTAACAATTACTATCAAGGTTAATGGCTAGTGGATCACTACGACTCCTTAAGTGAGGAAATCATGGGTACACATTTACGTTTTAAGTCGAAAACTCCCCGGTGTATTAAATCTAACGGTCGCCAAGCAACACAAAAGGGGAAATAAAGCGGACGAAAGCGTAAATAAAAGGGAAATGTCGCTTTTTCGCCTTTACGTCAGTTATTTAGGGGAAATGTCGCTTTTTCCCCCTTACGTCGTGTATTTGGGGGAAATTTGTCGACAATTATACGTAACGTACAGTATTTGAATGAACCGCATCCAGAACTGAAGTTTTCATGAACTTCGACAAAGCGGGTAAAAGGGGGAAATCCGCATTATTTCCCCCGGACGGGCGAAAAAGGCGACATTCTGGCGCGTTTTCCCCTTTCGCTACCAAAGCATTTACCCTTTTATTTCCCTTTTGTTCGCCTTTATTTCCCCTTTTTTGATTGTTTGTGTCCATAAGTTCCTAAAACCTTTGCTAATACAATACGGTCGATTTGCATGCTTCCACGAAGAAAAATGACGCGTACCGATCTCCCTATTTTGGGGAAACATTTTGTCAGTTCTGAGTAAATTTTGGGGGAAGACCTGAAGTTTTCCCCAGGTCCGAAGAAAATTCCCAAAATATTTGGAGAAACTTCGAATTTTCCCCAATATTTCCCCAGAACCTTATAACATCGGGATTTTTCCCCAAATTTTCCCAAGACTTTGGGGAAAACCCCAAAATTCCCCAAACGTTCCTCAAAATATGGAGATTAGGAAATCTCAACGTTCTTGACTCTTTGAAAGGATCGACCTGCCATCTCTTCTGGACTAGAACTGGCTAAAACTAGGCATGAGACAACCGTATTGATTTAAAAACTAATATTGTAATATATTTGCGTAAGATATCAGGCATGTAAACAAAACGCAAGCCACTGTGAGTGATTATCACTTAAAGTAGTCAAAACATCCAATTGCACTGACCACATTGCAAAAAATGGACGGATATAAACATGTCATACACAAAAAAACAAGCAACTTTGCACAAAATTTAAGAATTTATGGAGGAATTCAGTCACAGATAGTCAAATAGGAACTTACGTCTACTTTCGAGTATCGCGGCTCATCCTATAACCTTCAACACCAAACCTCGTACTAGCAAGATTATTCTTGAAATATGCTCCTGAAATAGTAATGTCGAATATATATCCAATGTTTCTATGACCAGTTAGTATGAATTAACTGAAACTCAACCTTCAAAATAGTTCATTACGAAAATCCTTTAAAATTTACTGAGCAGAATCGGAGATCTGTTGGTTCTCGCGGATCTGAGTTTAGGTTGTGGGAGATGGTGGTTATCTACAGAGAGGTTAATACTTGGGTTAGTCCTCAAGATACCAGAAAGAGCATCACTTCAGTTCATAATAAAAAACTGGCTGATGTAAAAGACAGAATTATCTCATTTTTTCAGTTAGATTTATGCCAGATTTCATGTCAACTTCAGGGGTTAGAATATCCGTCTTTTGTAATAAGGATGGTGAGTTGGTAAACCTGCGTTGATCCTGAAAGATTACCTTCCAGTGAAAGTTCAGCTTCTCCTTGAATGTATTCACTAATGTGGCTGATACAACTTGTTCGGGTAGGGCGTTCCAGTTATTGACTTACTTACTTGCGCCCGTTATTCCCAATGGAGCATAGGCCGCCAACCAGCATTCTCCAACCCACTCTGTCCTGGACCTTCCTTTATAGTTCTATCCAATTGTTATTTGTTCTTCTCATGTCTGTCTCCGTTTCTCGGAGTAATGTGTTCTTTAGCCTTGAGGATACAATTTGAAGACTTGCCTTGTGACGCAGTTGGATGCTTTCCTCAGTATGTGTTCCATCCACTTCCAACGCTTCTTTCTGATTTCTTCCACCACTGAAATCTGGTTTGTTCTCTCCCACAGTAGGTTGTTGCTGATATAATGTCTGGCCGACAAATTCGAAGTATTTTGTGTAAACAATTGGTAACAAACACTTGTATCTTCTAGATGACGGCTTTCGTAGTTCTCCAGATTTCCGCCCCATACAGTAGCACTGCCTTAACATTTGTATTGAAAATTCTGACTTTGGTATTGGTTGACAGTTGTTTTGAGTTCCAGATGTTCTTCTGTTGTGAATATACTACTCTTGCTTTGCCGATCCGCGCTTTCACATCTGCATCAGACC